GTCTATCTGCCTTATTTTTTTGTGTTTGATTTCCCTTCCCAATGGATTTAAGCTTGACTGTCCGTATACCCACATTTTTTTTTATGTTTGACTTACTTTCCGAATCGATGTAATCTTGTCTGTGCGTTTGACCGCTGTTTCCTTGTATTGAAGCTACTTACCGAACCGACGTAAGCTTGGCTGTCCGTTTCTCCACCTTGTTTTTTGGTGTTTGATTTACTTTCCGAATCGATTTAAGCTTGGCTGTCCGTCTACCCACATTGTTTTTTTTGTGTTTGACTTACTTTCCCAGTCGATTTAAGCTTGGGTGTCCGTCTCTCCACCTTGTTTTTTTGTGTTTGACTTACTTTCCGAATCGATGTAAGCTTGTCTGTCCGTTTGGCCGTACTGTTTCCTTGTATTGAGGCTACTTACCGAACCGACGTAAACTTGGCTGTCCGTCTCTCTGTTTGACTTACTTTCCGTATCGATCTAAGCTTGTTTGCCCTTCTATCTGTCATCTGTTGTTGTGTTTAGTGATCAGTGTACAAATCGAAATTTTTGAGATATTTTGATGAAATCTGATGCATCAAATTGTTCTGGCCCGACGATGAACTATCCTGAAAATGATTCGGATCGGACAACTTATTCGACAACTCCTCGTACAAAACCTTGTTTCGAAATTCATTATATGAATAAGTGTAGGGTGTTGGGCCATGACCCAAATTCTTTTTTTACTTAACTTGTTTTTATTATTACTTTAAAATAATAAAAATCGAATATATTTCCACTGTTTATTTCTTTTTTTTTTCTTTTCGGTAATCTCATCCTATCGTGCAATTAGGTTTGTAGAGTAAAAAACTCTCTCAGCCGTGTCTACGTAGTATATTAAAGCAGAATTCTTTAAAAATATTTAAAAAAAACACGTTGCACTTATCACATGTATGTAATTTTTTCCATTACGTAAAAACTGAAATTGATGCCACTGACATATTAAGTCAGAGATTCACATAACGTACGCGTAGTGTAATTGTATCGTGACAATTGATGGAACGAAAACACGTATAATTTAACTTCGAAAATGCAAAAACAAATAATAAACTCCGACATACTTTGGCGCTATATGGTAAGACTATATAAACTGAGCGACAGTGAATATCGGTTACGGAGTCTTTATACATCGAGGTTCTTCTACCTTTAGCCGGCCACTGCCTCGTAATCCCAATGCAGCAAAAACAACATTCGATTCCTACATGAATTGGGCCTAACCTCGACATTCATCATTCAATTAATTCAAGATATGTGCGGAGCTTGGCATTCTTTTGTAATGCGTTGCCCGAACGAGCCGGCTTTTGTTGAAATAAACCACGATTAGCTCTTTGCTGGCACTTCATCAAAGCAAGGGTATACCTCTTAGACGTTCATAAACTTTGTGCTGCATATTGCAAATGTTACGGAAGTGATTCGATTCTACGGAATTAAAATAAATAAAAAGAACTAAGTACAAGGCACGGCCCGCTATTGAATATCCGCCACCACCCAACAATCATTTATACGATGATGGCAAGTAATCGAAACTCTAGCCCGATCCAAATCATTTGCAATAGTGATCACCCTTGTGCCAGAGCACGCCAATGTATTAAATTTCACCAAAATATTTCAAAAATTACAGTCTGTTTACCATTGGGGATAAGAAAGCTAGACGGACGGACAAGCTTATATTGACTCACAATTGCTTTCCGCATCGATCTTGTGTCTTATAGCTTGAACACAAAAATACATAGGCAGACAGACAGATGGGCAGACCAGCTCGCATCGGTTCAGAATCGTTTTCGGTGTAACGAAAGGTGGATCTACGTCAAGTCCTTCTGGGTATTTAATACATCCAAACCGAGTTAATAGATTCTTCTAACATAAGCAACGCAAGGTATAAAGAAATTTAATTCAAAGGCATTACGATTTCCGAAAAGAAGAAAAACCAAGAGATCTGTGCAGCGTATTTCGAATTTCAGGAAATTATACTAAAACGATTACCTCCTTGGTCGCTTAATCACTTTGGCTGGCATTTAAAGAACACAAAGAACGGATTTAACCTCAACATAAAATAAATAAAAATACGTTGAGAAGTCGCTTTCGACGCCCTTGCCTACAGAAATCAAATAAAACTTCAACATTGATGAAGCAATTATTTCAAGACATTTAAGAAAGACTTAAGCAAAAGTAAAAAGTTCGGAAATGCTTTTGCGGACATTTTAAACCATGTTCTACTCGGACTGGAATGCAAGCGCCGTTTCAGCTCAACCTTTGCGTGAACTTGCCTTCAATATTAATGTATCAACTAACTCGAGTTATATAGGGAAACTTAGAATAATAAATTAATTTGACTTCCGAAATATTTCCGCAAGGCCAAAAACTAACTGTCACGTAGAAAGCAAAAGCTACCAGCAACAAGTGAATGTGAATTTGTTTTGCAAGATTTCGTTGCAAACACATTTTACTAACGTGGGTCCCCATCAAAGAATGATCTTAATCGATTTCGTTTGCAGAAAGCGAATATGATTTCCAACATTGGTTCAAATAAGTTACGAAAATATGAGTAGACGCTCTTCTCGAGTTGCTTTGAGCTCAAAAAATTAAGATCAGAAAAAGCTTACGAAACCGTTTCATTTGGGGAGATTAAAATCCATCTATTGCCCGTTGCCTTGTTTCTTCCTCCTCCTACTACACGGCATCGATTCCCTTTTTAACATCTAAAAAAAATTCACCATAACCTTAAAATTAACCTGCTATTGTGCGAATTCATCAAAGGTGTTTACTTACTATTAAAGGAAGCTATTAAAACTATTTGCAGAAATTTAACAAATTCTGAGATGCGAGTTTTGAGCGATGGTTGTTCGAAACTTTAAATGAAATTAAAATAAAACTATAAAGAAAAATAATTAAAATTCGTCCTGCGGTCTATTGATTTTAAAAACGAATATTTAACGTCAAGAAAAGCTTAACAATAGATAAGAGCTTTGCCAGTAGATAAGTAATATTTTGAAAGTCGGGAGTGATATATAATACTAAAGGAAATTAATTCGTCTGTGTCTGTTGTGGTTGCAAGGTGTCCCTCTATTATCAATTGCCTACCTTTGAAAAAAAAAACGCTTTCATCATCCAGATATAGCTTAGAGTTAAGCGCAAAAAAGCAAATACTCGATCAAGAAGAGAAGCTATGCCATCGTATTGTTTCGCGGTCTAGACAAAGTAATAGCAACTGGATAATAGCTATAATGTTTTATTGCAATGTTGGTGCCGTGCGGATTTTTAATTTCAAATACTACATAAGAGTGCCTTGGTCTCCTCAAAATCAATCATTGAGGAAGACTTCTTTTCCTAAATAAGTTATGGCTTATTCCAAGTACGACGTACAACAAACTCCTGAAAAATGTCCTTGCTTAAATAGGTTGCCATCTCTACGGGAGAAAGTCATCTCAAATTTGTTTTCTTTAATAGCGTATGTACGAAAGAAAGTTATCTGATTTTTCAAACGATTTTCGTTGAACATTTTTGCATAAACACATCTATAATATTTTTTTGCAATGACAGAGCGCACAGTTCAGATATCTAATCTTCACACTATTGCTTATTCGGAACACTATCCTAGAGTTCGTTGGCCTCCTCAAAATCTATTGCTGAGAGCGACTACTTTTTTTAAATAGCGTATGACTTGACCTGGAAGTCGTTCGACCTATAAAGTTTTATTGCATTGAGGCGGTGCGCATTTTGGATTTCTAATTTTCACACTATGGCTTATTCGGAATAGTGCACAAGGGTTCCTTGGTCTCCTTAAAATGTATCATTGTGGAAAACTGCTTTTCTTAAATAACCCATGATTTCTGCAGAAACCCTTCTATAATGTTTTGTATTGCAATGAAACGGTGCACAGTTTGGATTTATAATTTTCACACTGTCGCTTATTCTGAATACCATCCATGAGTTTCTTGGCTAACTCATAATCTTTCCCGGGGAATGACTTCTTTTCTTAAATAGCTTATGATTTATACGAAAGGAAGTCATTTCAGTTTTCGAAAGATTGTCGTTGCAAATTTCTGCATAAATCCATCTATAACGCTGTATTATATTGGGACGGTGTACAGTTCAGATATCTAATTTTCACATTATCGCTTATCCTAAATACTATCCAAGAATTCTTTGATCATCTTAAAATCAACGAATGGAAAACTTCTTAGCTTAAATAGTTTACTATCCATACGGCAGGAAATCACCTGATTTTTCGAAGGATTTTCAATGCAAATTTCTGCACAAACCTATAAAGTTTTATTGCATTGGGGCGGTGCACAATTTGAATTTCTAATTATCACACTATCGATTATCCTGAATATTAGACAAGAGTTACTTGGCCAACTCAGAACTTGTTTTCTTAAATAGCTTATGACTTGTACGAAAGGAAGTCATACGATTTTTCGAACGATTTTCAATGCAAATTTCTGCATAATTTACATGTGAAAGTGTATGTATGCATTGGAATTAAAATCAATACGGAAACAACATTTGAACACTTGCAAGAGAAAATCTATTAAAACCGGTCTTGTTGTATAGTTCAAACACTGTAAGCCACATTAACATAGATACATTAATTTTGATTTTATTTTTAGTTTTAAAACTATGCGATGTAACCTTAAACGATTCGTTTTTTTTTTTTTTTTTTTTTGCTTTTCTTCTGCGCTGACTGCAAATGTTAACTTTGACATTCCAATTATTGTTACGACAAAGCAGACACCATTAGCACAATAATTATTCACGATCAATGTGAAACGGTAACTTAATCTGGCATAGTGGGTATGTTTGATAAGTAGGAAAATCGAGAAGGAATTAAAGAAAAAATATTTTGTAATTACATTTTCACAGCAACAACAAACAGATTAAAAAAGAAGCCTTTGAAAAAGAAAAAAGAAATGCAATTTGTCCCCAAAAAAAAAAAAAAAAAAAAAAAAAAATATTAACTTATAACTTACAACTTAAGATCGAAGTAATCGAGATCAGTTAAGCTATGACGATTGCCAAAGAAGGAGGGGAAAAAAAGCAGAACTTCTTTATGTCATTTATGTGGGATCCAATGTTGTCGTGATATTTCTTTAGTTGTTAGAGCCTCAAATATCAAATATAATTCATCTCCGTCTCTGCGTCCCTATCTCTCTCTCTTTTCTTCTCTCTCTCACCCTCACTCCCTAAGTATTTTCGTCTTTTAAACTATTTGTTGATTCTTATTTAAATAGACTTTAATTCTTGCATTTATTTACATTTTCCTCGGGTGCTGCGCTGTGCTAGATTAACTTGAACTTGATTCGTTTGGTTGTAGTGAAATTTCACTTCTCCTGTTTCAAATTCTTTTTCACTTATATTACTTTCCGCTTAATTGTTTATATTTTTTCTTGTTCAATTTTATTTATATTTTTTTTTTTTTTTATTACGAAAAAATTCGCCCAAACACACGCAAACACAATTACACACCCGCACATATAGGCAAAAATTCAAGCATAAAAATTCTTCTATTTTGCACGTTCGGTTCGCTTAATTCAATTTAAACATTTTCACGTCTCGTTCAATTTAAGACTAACCGATTGAACGTAAAATTTGGCTTAAAGTTTCGCTTTTTCGCTACTAGAGTTAGAAATCTTCGCTTTATTATAATTGTTTTTGTATTGCAAAAGCATTGTTTACATGAATAACTAACTAACTCTCGCTCAATATCACTCTCTTATATTTATATATATATATGTATGTATGTATGTTTGCCTGTATAATGCGCGGAACAATTGTACAATAAATTCATTTGATTTTACAATAGACTTCTTACACTAAAGAAAAAAAAAAAAAAAAAAAAAACGAGGAAAGTAAAATCCCTGCACTCCATTGCAATGAGCCGTTATTTTGATTTAAGATAAGATGATCAGAACTGTTTTTTGCAATTTTCTCCTTGGGAGAGGATCAAGTTTGGATTCCTGTTAGCCTGAAACCTGTATGGGCATAAGAAAAAGGTATCTTCAAATTCCTAGGCGGTATGAAGAGTGGAACAGGTTCGTTAATTTGTCTACCTGCTTGTCGGTCTATGCATCCGTTTGTCATCGAAATCAAAAAGATTGAGTTAAACTTTTTATCCGGAAATAAAAACTTGTTCATCAATTTTTATACGTACGTAACAACTAGAAGGACTTAAGATAGACCCACCTAACCTTATCTATCCGTCTGTCTGTACATGTGTTTATAAGTTCAACCTTCACTTCAACCTGGTCTATAAGGAATGCACAGAACTTCTTAATCCAGCTTTAGGAGGTGAACTTTCAAATCACTCACTAAAACTCTTGAATAAAATTTCCAAATATTTTTATACCCTACACTGACTCGAGACGCAGGGTATATTAAGTTTTTGATAGACCCGTCTTTTATTATACCGATGTAAGTAAGCCTATCTGTCCGTCCGTCTAACTAATTGAGTTCATCTTTGCAGGTCGCAATTTTTGACCTATTTTGATGGAATTTTATACACTTACATACCTTGATCCAAGGAAGAACGCTATTGAGAATGATTTGGATTTGGAACACTTTTTCGACCACTCCCCATATAACGCCCTCTTCTGAAAAGTCGTTACTTGCAAGATAAGTACAATTTACAGAATTCCTCCGCAAAAGTCTCGGAGTAAGACTACTTTAGCATTCTAAATTGGTGTTTGGATCGGCTGGAGCAATTTTATGAACCTCGCAGCACATAAACTAAGTTAAGGCCAAAAAATTGATTTATTTTACTTACTTAAAATTATTTCATAAATTATTCTGAAAATATCCCTTTACATGCCATAAAATGAGTTTTTAATGAAAAAACTGATCTTAAAATTTTCTCATATTTTTCTTTTTTTCCTAACATCATGTCGATAAATTTTGCATCAAATGAGTAAACTTTAACAAGCTACCCAGTCAGCAGTTACCGCCAATGACCTCTATTCCGTCATCATAAAATATCAATACATAATCAAGGTTTTTTTAGTTCACCAAAAGCTAGTGCTGGATATTTAGAAATCTGATACCAGTTAAGAGTAGTCTTTAGAAGATTACAAGCTTAAGCCCCTTAGGTTAAATTACCCTTTTTTTGGTCTTGTCATCTACGTTTTGCTTACCATCTCCCCATAGAAGTTTTCGTGCGAAAACTAAGGAAGAATAATAAATAAGGGTTAACTTGCTCCATTTTATAATGACAATAAAGGAACAATTTAATTAGGCGACGTGCTGAAGAATAGACGAATACAAAACTTCTTATCCGGCCTTAGAGAGTAAACTTTCAATTCACTTACTCAAACTCTGGAATAAAATTTGTAAATATTTTTATACTCTTCAACACTTGTGGTACATGATATATTAAGTTTTGTGAACAAGTATGTAACACCAGGAAGCGCTTAAAATAGACCCACCTTTTATTTTACCGATCTAAGCTTATAGATGCGTCCGTCAAAATAATTTGTGGTCAACTGATAAGCCGCAATTTTTGAAGTATCTTGATGAAATTTGGTACACTGATGTGGCTTCATCCAAGGATGAACGCTGTCGAAATAGGTTCAGATCGGTCCACTTTTTCCACCACACCTCACATAGCGTCTTCTTTTGAAAAGTTGTCAGATGGAAAAAAATTGAAGTTTTCAAAGTGTTTCGACAAGACTCGCTATGTAATAGTATTTTGACATTCTAAATTTCTATGAAGGACCTAGTTCTATTGAGCCCGTCTTATATAACTCTTACTAAGAAGACTGAATATTTATATGGAAAATGGTCTAAATTTCAATATTTCGTGATGGAAATTGGTTCGTAATACAAGCCAACTAAACAAATTTGCACTACGTAGGTTTTGGATACTACCACATATACGGATTCTCAAGACATGGAAACCTCATGTACCAAAAAGGCCTAATTGTTAATGTTTTATGATAAAAATAAGTTCATAATAGTAATTTAATAACAAAAATTAAGCGGACAAATTTGAACCACATCAGTCTACTTCTTGGATTTCACTCCAGATTTCTCATGAATAGTAAACCCTTCAGAAAATGTTTAATTTTTAATATTTTATGATGCAAGTTCCATAGTAGCAAATTGATTAAAAAAGTTAAGAGTAAAGAGTTTTGACAACATAGGTCTATTTTTTAGACCCTAACATATAGGGCTTATCACAAAAAGCAAGCTCTTTTGCTCAGAGAAAGTATAATTTCTAGTTTTCTTTGGCGGAACCTGAAAGTAAAAATATTTTTGGAAAGTAAATTAAGTTTGTAAAATTGTGATCACGTCTTATGATGTTTTGGGTATAATCCACTACGTTGGCTTGCATAAAAATGTGTGCCTTTGCATGAAAATAACGTGTAACTTTTGATGTAATATTACCAAAACGAGGAAATAGTTGTGATAGGCGAATTGATGTAGAGTATTTAATGGTAGGCCTTGCCCGACTATACTTGCTTATTCGCTTACTTTTAAGATGGGTCTGAACAATATTTACACAGAACTTTAAATCAACAATAATTGTAGGTTGTAACTTTGTATGTTCGTAGTGTACTTAGTTAGATCTCTAAAGTGAGTTCTAGATCTTATAAAAAAATAGAAAATCTTACATAATCCCATACCTCAATATGTATAAAAATTACAAAGCATTTTATTATTTGTGTGATAGAATAGGAATCATTCGTCCATTATTAGAGTGCAAGCTATCATAGTAATAGTAATTGTATTGCATCAATTAACCCATGAAGACGATTTGTACAAAAAAATCATTCATCTTCATTTCAATATATATGTACAATTTTTTTTTTTTGATTATTCCGAGTAAATCATATCACGAATTTATAAATTTGATTTGAGCCAAATACTTAACAAATTTTACAAAAGAAACTAGAACTAAATAATGATTGAAGACAAATGAGTTCAGACTAGAGTATAATATCAATAATAAATAAATTAAAACTTATATAAAATGAATATATTATACATTCGCTTTGGAACGAATACGGATACCTACCACTACAAATTAGTACAATATAGTTATCATTATTATGTTCAAATCTCAGATGTCACGAGTTATGGTCATAGGTATTAAAATTCAGCTTTGAACTTCAATTAAGAGACCGAATAAAAATTATTCTGGCCAGAACGTTAGTGAAAGGAAACTGAGATCTAAGCAAAAAGAGTCCATAACGGATGAACATCATCCCATCTAGTACTAGTTACACAAATTGAAAATAGAATAGTCCTCAAACCACATACTCTTTTAAAAATGCATATTAGGACTGAGGAGACCAAAATTGCTTTCTTAAAATCACAATCCATGAATATCGATTGAGAACTTGTGTTTTAAGACAAACTACTTTGAACTTTTCACTTCATGACGTTCCCATTATTCAGCGTTTCTTGTAGATGATTTTCAAAACATAATATTTATTTTTATTTTTTATTTTCCTAAGACCCATTAAGGAATTGCTTATATTTAAAAAAATAATTTCAAACGATATTACAATATTTTAATCCATACGAGTCTTCAAGGTCTTGATAGTAATTTTATCCTGTTCAATAACATAAACAGTAGCACCCCAACCACTGATAGCATCACGATCGAAAGCGTTTATCATAGCCTGAGATATCGTTTCAAATAATTGAGTCGCTTCCATATCAGGTTTCCATAACGTTTCGCACATACCGTATAATTGTTCATAACAAGTACCCGCAACAACAAAGTCATCGGGTATATTAGAGCAGCCAATTAAATCCATATTACATATAAATGGTTCCATTGTTTCAGGATCCAGGCCGGCAATGACTGGTTCAATAAAAAATGGTCCAAAACGGTGTTCATATAAAAAGCTCGATAGCATAGCAGCGAAGCGTTCTGGTTGCATTTCTCGATTCTCGCGGGTCTCATAAAGGCTTTTACGAAAATGCAGGCGATCTTTCACAGTTAAAATATCAGTTTGCAAGCCCACCAAACCCAGAAACATACGTGGATTCATTTGGAACACCTTATCAAAATCCGTTGAAATGGTTTGTGCCTGCACACCGAAACGTCGATCCGTACCAATAGCTACGCAATCTTTTCCACGCATTGCGACAACACAGCCACCATTGTACGTCAATATCGACATGTTTTATTCTTTATTAAATTTAATAACTTAACAAATATTTAATAGAAAAATCGTGGATATAAATGCCGCTTTTGATAGAATTTTAGAAACGATGATGACTTTTTATTTCTTAAGGGTTTACAACTTACAAAATTCATTGTATGGCTTTTGCTATTCAAGTGACTTTCGGAAAGTAAAGTGATGCCAAACCAAATAAATTTTTAAACACACTAAAAAATATATATTTCTTAATAATAATATTAATAATATTCTTCTTTTTTGCTTAACTCAGTAAATCATCTACTGTTGGTTGCTGACTTGCAGAAAAAAAAAATAATTTTTCTATTCCTAATGGGAAAATAAGAAAATTTCAGGCGAAATCGTTATCTTTACTCTTCACTTCTGGCACATTTACATAATCTCGCAAAAACTATAAACATGCAAATAAGCGCTTTAAAATCGGTTGATGTTTGAATTACATGCAGCAAGTATAAAAACTTGCCAGAGCTTTGCAGTGATGTAATGCCAGCTTTGTGCTCAACGTCATTTAAACATAGGCAACGAACTCGTGTTTGGACATTTGCGTCCTATATGCTGCAGTCATTGCATCCACCGGCTAACTCTGAAAAAAATATGCTGCATATGCTTACCTTGCTAATAAAATGTAAAAGTTGTTTTAATTTCCTTCTTCCTCTTCTTCTTCTTCTTCTGTTATTCAGCATATTTAGAACCGAAAATTCGGTGAGATGTTTTGATATCCTGTTTGTTTAGTTATATTTGGTTGCAGTTACAAAAAAGTGTTGTAAGAATATTGTGTTATGCCAATACTGTGATTCGGTTATGTAGAATTAAAAATTAAACACTATGTGCTCATCCTTGCGCAGGGGCTATGCTAATCGTCTTTGTATCGTTCCAATTTTAGTGTATGTTCTAACCAGCGAATTTTCGATTGTTAATTTGCTGAATAACAGAAGAAGAAAATTCACTAACAATTTTTATTATATTGTAAAGATAAAAGGGTCTTTCGGTTGACTTTCGGGCATTACATGGTCGATCATGGTGCCGTATACAATTTTTATACGTGTGGAAGCTTGCGTTTTGGTTGCATTTTCTAATATAAAATAAGACTATGGCGTTAGCTTTCGGACACCTTTTTGTTTTTAAAATTTTACATGTTATTTGTTAAAAACAAACCAGGGTAAAGCGAGCAGCCAGATATCATATTGATTTGGAAATTTCCTTTGATTAAAAACGCTTGGGCTCCCCTGGTACTCATGGAAGGATTATAAAACTCGGTTTTTGTCTTCGTTTCGCTTTATCGGAGTCCGAATTCTACACAGGAACGAAAAAATTAAATAGTTTTTTGCTGTTAAGACAAAAAATTGAATTAATCGGGGTTGTTAAATAAAGCAAAAAACGCTTAAAAACCTCATTGTAAACAAATATACAAAAACAGGTATGTTTATTCTTGAATTTTTCAGCTTGATTTTGGTAAAATTGATGGTTGCATTCAATATTTTTTTTTATAATGATGTATGTCTGTCTATATTAGTTAAATTTTCATTTTAATTTAACTTTTAATATTCATATCGTTTACATAAAATAATGAAAAGCAAAAATTATCAAAAATTTGTTCAACTAAGGAATCGGTTATGAAGTAAAGTTTTCGTGGAAATGTTTTTCCTTACCATCAGTTGATAAAACATTTGAAAAATCTAATAAAAAGGAAAATTTATAAATTAAGTTTAAAAGAAAACAACAAAAGCCGACTTGCCTTGTGAAAAACACACACAACCACCACGGCAACCAGCGCATCAGCAAACATGCTATAAACGGCTGTTAATATTAAAAAATGTAAAGTGAATAAATGAAAGTCGTGACCATAGAGAAAGAGATGATTAAAGGAATAACTTTTATCTTCATAGAAGGTGCCTTTACCTGCAAAACATTAGAAAAATCTGATAAAAAGGGATTTTTTCAGATTAAGTAAATTGAGAATAAACCGATACGCAACTAAATAGTTGTGTTTATAAATTGAGAATAAACCGACACGCAACTAAATAGTTGTGTCTATAAATTGAGAATGAACGCAACTAAATAGTTGTGTCTACAAAGAAAAGGAAAACAGAAAAAAGTTAAATTTTTTACGCTCAATAAAAGCAGGAAAACTATCAACAAGCTTTGGTAATGACGTCGCTTATTGCGATATGTTGAAATAAACACTATGTCCGCCTTATTAAAATTGCAATCTTCCATCATTTTATCGATATTTACGCAGACTTAGCATTATATTTACAAGCTAAGTTTTATTTACATAGAATTTTTTTGTATATACAGGCCAATATTTGATTTCTGAACTTGATGCTGCAATTTCAAAAAGATAACTTTTGGAGCGAACCTTTTTTTTGAATTCTTTGTATCGAATGCAACCACAAAAAAAAAATGGAATCTCAACTTGTTTTTCCAGGACGATCTTAAAACAGACCAATACAGAATCAATTGAAATATAAAGATTGGAATTATTGCAGCCGATCAAAGATGTTTATAAGTATTTCATCTTTTGATAAGTACAAAAATTCCAAAATATTTCCGAGAAACGTACTTTCATTTATATGGTGATTAAGCTCACAATTAAGAAGTCGTTCTAATAAAGTTTTCTCTTTTATAATATAATCCATATCTTTAATACCCTGCAAATATAAAAGAATATTGATACGATTCCAGAGGATACAAAAATCCAATAACTTACGTGATCTACAAAAGCACAACAGAATCGATTAATGTTACTATAAGCTATTGAAGTTTTCTCCAACGAGCCTTCTGCTCTACTGATATCTTTATTATAACGTGTCTGAAAGATACCGTTGTCGCCACGTATAGTGCTCGCTGAGTCAATCGAACGTTGAAGTCGTAGCAAAAGTTTGTTGAAATAATTATAAAGATTTTTCGGTGGTATTATTATATAGCATTGATCAGCATTATTAAGTAAACCGCGGCGTTCACATAAACTTTGAGTTTCACGTTGAAATTGCGTAATTATTGTGGGTACATCAGTATCGGTGAAACCGTTCGGTGAACGTCCATGTATATAATAACCAGATGATGGCTCGATTAGCACAAATATAGAAATATTTGCCAAAGAACAATGATTTATAAACATTTTCATTGGATTTCCAAGTAAGTGAGTTATTAATGTGTTATGTAAAACGTATTGAAGGCAATAGATGGTGAGCGAGGATAAAGTAAAAACGAATAGTTTTAAAGTGCTATCGTTATGAGTTACAGCGTCAGTAGCGAATATCTAGTAAAAGGAAAGAATAAAGTAAAGGATACAAGATAGTGAAAGCAACATTGTCTTGAGCTGAAAGAGCAAATGGAACTATATATTTTGAGGTTAAATCCGTAATAAATATAAATAAATAATAATAAATAATATAATAAAAGCATAAATCCGTAAGAGAGGTTTAGTAAATCTTGCATATCATATTTTTCAAAATAAACGCGTGGTAGATGTTGAGGTTATGGCTGATTTTTGCTGTCCTCAAAACTGTTCTCAGCCCGATACTTGTCAATGTTATTGATTGAATGAAACGATTAATAGTTCGGAGGCCAATATCGTCAAATAAAATTATGTCAAACAAATACCCATGTAAAGCGTTCTTTCCTTGCGCAGTGTTGCCTTTTATCCTTTTTTTTTTCTTCTCTTTTTAAACTATATATTTCTTATCATAGCCAAAATCTCCTGTCTCTATCTTGCTGAATAATATTTTAAAATGTCCGTATTTTAAATTTCCGATAAAAAATAACTGAGAACCATATTTCTTGGATCTGCTCTACGGATTTACGCATGCACGTAAAAGAAAACTTACATTAAAAGCTACATAAGTAGCAAAACTTTGCAATACTGTAGAAGTCTGCTGGGTACTGCTCAATCTAACCCATTCATTTATCAAAAATATACTGCGCCAGGCGGAAACATTGCTCTTATTGGCAGGTGGACCTGCATTAGAACAAGCCGATAATGTTTCCAAGTTACTTTTCAAATTGATATTATTGGTATCGCTGTAACGTGGCCGTTCCCAATCGATAAAGAATACATTAAAATGAGATAAATGCCAGAATTTGGTAAAAGTAGTAATCAGCTATAATCAGAAAGTTTCAAATAATTAACAAATGAAAGTAAGAAAAGAATGTATTCACCTTTAAAATTGCAGCAGCGCACATAATAAATTGCAAATAATTATAGCCCTTAAGTAGAGGTAAAGTTAATTCCGCATAGCTTTGAGTGTAATATATTAATGAATTTAAGTGAACGTATAGTAGAAAATATATTAGCAACGCGTATGATGTATAGTCGGCCAATTGTAGTAAAAATTCCACAAGAGTAATGCTACAAAAGTCTTGATTATTATTCACTGACGATAAAGATGACGCGGATATGCTTTGACGCTGCCTTAGAAGAGTCCACATTCGTAGCAATGTTAACGCCACCGTTAAAATTAGCAACATTGGAAAAGACAATTCATTTAAAAGTTCATTAATGGATTGCTCGCCTTGTCGTACAAAGCTTATTACAAATTCAAAGGGTAAACGCGAGTCCAAAGTGAGATTTTGCGAAAAATCTAGATAACGATATTTCATTTTAATGAGAGGTACTCCAATCTGGTTGCCTTCAAATATCACAGTATGAAGTTCGATTCTTTCCACATAACGACCGAAACGATAAATTGATAATTTATATGAATTTTCATAAGTCGGCAAATCACTTTTAATATTTTGATGAGTGTAAAAGTAAATAAGTTGAAAACGTTTTACCAGAAGCCAATCTCTACCTTGCAAAGGCTAAAAGTTGGAATTATATATAAGAAGGCTCTTTTTTTGTTTTCCTAAAGTCTACTTACTTCATTTTCCTTATTAAGTTCTTCTATTAAAATTGGTAACGTTTGCATTAGAATCTTCCGGGGTTCTTCTTTAGTGGTGTAATTCAAGAACCAACTTATATACCGATTGCGACCATATAAAGAAGCAATATCGATGAGATTTTCCAATGTTAAAAAGCATTTGATCTTTTCAGTAGCCAATCTGAAGCGTACGAAATTCGAATCATCCAATTTAGAACATAGATTCATAGAATTCAGTTTCATAGGTCCCCAGACATGTAAAGAACCACTCACATCATAAATGGTTTCAAATATATTCAAATGGTTGTTCTGCAAATACAAAAAACATCACTCAATACCATTCCAATAAGTAATTGGATATCTTAAGATATGTTTTTAACGGGTTTCATCTTCTTTTCATTTTCGAGAAGGCAACCTTGTGCCGTAGAACTAAGAGCTTTATATCCTGGCATAATGATTTAAAGGAAACTGTGAGATAAAAGTGATTGATGAACTTTCCAAAACTCTGAAGCGATATGAAAGACTAGTGGTCTATTTTTAGATATCTTTCATTCGAAAGTTATGTAAGTATCGTTTTGGACTTATACTCAGTTTAAATATGCAAGATCAACAAACAGTATACTCGAAGTATACCGTTTTTTATTTCCGATATCGTAAAATGGCTCTACCAAATAGCCAAAAACTGTGTAACTTGTAAAGAGTGTCTTGCAGAACGTGTTTGACTTCCCCTTATATTACTAACGCCCCCACGCTATCACTACTAATTTTAGCGAAATGTATCCATTAACTGACTCGAACAGACATGTTACAGCTACGGTAGGCAGCCATAAGAGCCAAAGTAAGATTAGATTAACTCTTAGGGCAAGGGACTCCAGATCTACCCTGCAGACTATTGGCCGTGTTCTCAGATGTTCATGAGTGATGCGAGCATTTCCAATACAATGTGTACTATTGAGATTTTGCTGTGCTCGTGCATTGGTAACTCCACAGGGAATATTCTTTGAAAATAAAAAAAAGTTTGTCCATCAATCGATTACTTGGATTTCTTGGCATTCTCTTCCGCTCGAACTGCCTCATATTGTACAATACTCTTATTGTCGAGAGGTAGTCGAACCATATGAAACAAAAAATATTTACCGAAACAGTGCTAACGTTCAGAACAAATCAAAAGAACTGGATGTGAGGTCGGAATTAACATATATTCTAATCGAAAGCAGTCTAACATTCCGGGGCGAGAGGCCCCGCTCTCTCTTTTCTCTCTCCTTTACGTATAACCGTTTCGCAATCATTGGCGTGCGTGCATGATATGAGTGATAGCTGAAAAAATGAAACAAAAGTGAAAGTAAATGCGACGACATCATAGTGCATAAGGCGAAAACATGCGCGCATTAACGCCCCCCACCCACTGTCCAATCTCAATATTGAGCAATCGTTGGTGTGCTAAATTATGCTGACAATTCACATAAAAGCAAAATAATAGAAGCCAGGAATGATGACGTCATGCTTAGCATGCCTTTTAAAGTGGGACTGTCTACAGGCTTCTGTTCGAATTAGAGGAATAATGGAATTTACGTCATCCATAAGAAATCCTTACTTAATCGGACTCTATGTCCATGTACGAGCGAAATCCTAAAGGTTCTCAAAAAAAGCTTAACTCAAATCGTTTGTTTTCTGCCCGCAGACGTGCAATGATAACAATGCAGATAACTTGAGGGATTCCTCAGAGACCATGATAGTAAACAAACGTGATTTCATTCTATAACAATTACCCTTTAGTAATAATGATTACAATGTTAAATTAGGGATAGATCTTAAAAATGCTCAACTTTAGTCCAACTTGAAGTACGTGAAGAATAAGATGCAAAAAGATAGAGGTCAGTTCGGAAAGTCATTTCGCTTTTCTCATAATAATGAACAATCGAAATCATTAAGGTTAAGGATCTTAGCGATCTCACGAATTGTAATTTATCGGATTGGCGTCAATTAATGCTTATCTTCTCATGTCATCACTTCAACGAGCCTCCCAGAACGTGAAGGATCTTCAACTTCAAAATTGCAGGCAAGAAATTTTACTAACTAACTCTGTTACTCTCATTCCATCAATATATTTTCTCCATTAATATTATTATTAACTGCATGAGCAATCCGTACCGCCATCTAGAAGATCTGTTGAACCCCTGAATCTAGCCCTCTACTTTTAGGATTTTTATGAGCACCATACCTTGTCCGGCATTATGAAATGTTAGAATATGATGGCATGTTTTATTGTCCCTTGGCAGAATCTGCGTGAATCGAAGATATCCATATTTTTCGGGTGGTTCCTGAGGAAATTATAACCTATGTAGAAGCCTGTGACCAAACGTATGTCGCTTGCTCTTAGTTCCAGCAGTTTATGTGCCATACCGGAATATTTTATGAAACCTTTTGTCTGCCGTTGTCCTGCTTATAGCTTTATTTGGCAATCCGATCTTTCCTGCGTCCATTGCGTGACCAGCCTATTAATATGTCTTCTTCTTACGCCACAGAAAGGTTCAAAATCTATCATAGTCTCTCGGTCTGTTAGCCAGGCGGTCAGCCCCTTCGTTGCTCTTAGTACCTGAAAGGCCAGGCAACCATGGTGATTGCAGCTCATTGTGCCTGCCTATCCCAATGACTGTTCAAGAATTCATCGCCCCTGCCATGTCAACATAAGCAAGACGTTGGGTTTTCTTTAGTGTCGTTGCCTCCGTTCTTTGATTTACCTTAGGCCGCCAGGTCAAAACTGCACATTTTCTCCATACACATGCTACAATTTTTGTCTTGCATGGATAGCGTTTCGACGTTATATGAAATGTGGCGAAAACGTTGCTTTCTATTCCCCGTATCTGATGGCGCACCAAAAAAAAAAACAGTTGAGCAGTATCAAGCAAACTTTTCCACAGAGAAGCCTTTGTCTATTGGCATATAATAATAACAAAGCGACTTGAGCATGAATTTAATTTTGGAGAAATACAACTAATTTCTCTTCAGAAAAAAAAAAAAAACGTGATGACTTTCCGAACAGCCTAATAGTTATGAAAAACATTATAATTATTATATTTACCTTTTCTGTAGAATCAAAACTGTATGCTAAACCTTCGATGGGTCTTCTCAACATTTGTTGCATTTCTTTACCTTTTCGATAATATAGGAATGGTTTTATCTCACGTCCTAGCAGCTGCTCATCCATACCACCATAACGATAAAGCGTTTCTGACGCTTGAGTCAATAAAAAACGATTACATGGTGAATTTTTACCCATCGCGTAAAAGGCCGTAACGCATAAATTAGCCAAATGATTACAAGCGGTATTGTTATGAAGACTGATGCAAAAAAATGCTGCAAATTTTAATTCATTGTAATTATAATGCGCTGTCGTTGCTTGCCAGAACGAATCATAATTTAAATACGGTCTTAACAAAATTTTAGCTATACAATAGCTCTGATAATGGAAGTTATAATGCAGGTCACAATGAACGCAATCATTATCATGGCGCCAGTTTTTATAAGCGATTTCTATCATATTCAACGATGATTCCATGTTTCCGAATATACGAATGCTACTGGTTCGGTTTATATATTTGTATTTACAATTCGAACCATGTTGAGCTACCTCGGTATTTTGGCATATATTATCGAAGACTTGATTATTAAGCAACTGAGTTTTTTGGCAAATATCACCACAAATTATCCGCTCCTTTACGGTATCGTAAATGGTTAATGTGGTGATAAGGGAAGCATTGCAGACACAAGAAAACTCTGTAACAATAAAGAAAGTCTGAGCATAAGTGCACCAAAGTCTTGATTTGATAGGTTCGAAATTTTCTTATTAAAATCACAAAAATTAAAATGAATTAAATTTTGTGCTTCAAAACAAGTAATTGTTCATATTGTGATTATATCCGATTTGCGTTGTCGCGAAAAGCGCATCAAATGAAGATCGGTGTATCAGAGAGCAGAAAAAATCGTTGCTAAAAACGTAGCTTCTCGGCATTAAATGGCAAACCTTTTCTTCCTGTCGCTCTACCTCGGTATAGTTGAATCATCTTCCTAAATCTCGGAATGTCGGTGAAAATTTCAACTTTCACTTAATCAGTTAGATCTATCAATCTTTTCGAAAAATGTGCAAAATTTTAGCGATGACGAGTATACTCGTCGTATATGGAATATGTGCGATATGAAATTAGGTTGTAATAAAAAGACTTCATAAAATATGATAAAAATAATTTCTAAACATTACATTATTAAGACAAATACATATTCATAATGTTAAGGACGAAAGGACCAATTATGACGTATATTCACGTACAATATATTTTACGTTTTCCGTGACGAGTACATTCCTCATGCATAGTTAACTGTTTAACATAGAAATTTCATGTCCTGTGAGTCATGAAAAAACAACTTCGAACTTTCTCTGGAGTTAGGTATGTTTAATCAATATTTGCACATACTTACTGTCATTACTTGATTCTAAATTTTGACCCCATTTCTCGCATGGTCTACACATCAAGTAATTTAAATCATAATATTCGCTTTTAGCACATCGTCATATATCCTCAAATGCAAATAGAGAACGATTGAAGTCGTTAGGCTTTTCAATATGATTAAAACAATGGACAATTGAAATAGTGACCATTAATTGCATTGCATAATACATTCGACTATTGGTAAACATTTCAGTTTCTCAATGTATATATATGCGAAAGCACGTAATAAATAATTAATTATTTAGTACCGACAACCGTTCACTTCTAACCACTTCAACAAACTGAACCAATGTTGAAATTTTAATATGCATGAGTTTATCCTTTAAAAGGTGTGCAAGGTGTTATTGTGCGTTGTGTGCAAGTGTTTCTTTATTATAACAAAATTATTCTGTTATTATCGACTTGTTTGAGCCTACAAGGAAACTAACTGTCTAGATTCGCTTTAGGTCGAATTTTCGATACCCAACATTTTGAAAGTAAAATATCACAAAAAACTTAAGAGAAACAGAATTTTTATTTCATTGAATTCACGATCGCGATGAAATCCATTTCAGGGTCATTTAATTTGGATAACTTAAGGTTTAAACTGAATATTTTAGATGGCTTTTTCTACAGTGGGGATTTAGTTAACACAGAAAATTTTTTTTTCTACGCTCTTGAGCGTACCAATATACGCTCAGTCCAAATGTACATGCTACATATGAAAATCGTAATTAGGAGTAAAAATCAATTCTCGAACCATTCATCGCTACTTGATAATAACACAAGCGTTCATGTTTATTACGAACTGGAGGAAAAATGAAGAGTTTTATTTAGAGCAGATCAAGATGACTGTATAAAAATTAGTTATAAATATTGCATTCTAAACTCTTTCTTAATGGAATGCATCGAAGCGGGATATAGAAGAAGAAGAAACCCATCTATAAAACACTGCCAAATGCAAGTCAAAAATTCATATATTATCTGATGTTTGATGATCAATTATTGCACATATATTTTATTACTATGTTAGATAATTATCTTAACCCTCTTAACACTAATTAACCGATGAGCCTTTAAGGCTCAACTTGAACTTTGGTTTTTTCATATTTCATTACCAAAATTTTTTTATTTTCATATAATAGACTTTGGTTCAGTTCATAGCATGTAAAGAAAGTGTCAAACGTGATAATGTGGTTACTGTCCAGAAATGGTCCTCAAAGCATCTCCTTGTAAATTTTGTCCTCATTGGCTACTTCCTGTTCTGGATACAGCATTCCTTTCTAATTGCGAGCCTTTGAGGCACATCATGCTGCAATTCGTTCCAAAAAGAAGACCTATACAGACTTCGGTTAAAGCAAAGAGTTACTTATTGCAAAACAAGCTAACGATGACTGCCACAAAATTCTACACAATCCTTTAATAGTTTCTTTCTTGCCTTATGATATGTGTTAGTGTGTTTGAAGCTTTTTAAATAAAATTTTGGTTGTTATAGTTTTCGCTACCCTTAAAAAACATCAAGAAGTGCAACTTTTAAATATTGAGTCTATGTATGAGCTCGCTAAAGAAATGCAAAGAATTCATGCCGAATATTGAGATAATTTATCATTCCAAACTACAAAAACAAAAAAAACTGTGCCGGAAGAAACAAAATTGTGACTCCACTCCTGGTCCAGCTCTATAAAATCTTGACATCTCCGATATGATTCTACAATGATTAACCGACGGAAACGACAAACTTCATTTAGGCCAGAGTCAAAACAACCAAAATTTCCAAATTATTTACGCTTATGTCATTTGTTTTCCTTGTACAATGGTTACCTTTGAAAAGTTTCTTAGAGCTTTTTTTACAAGAGCAAGAGCCGCTCATTAATTTTGTTGTATTTTAAACCTACTTTGGATTTAGAAACGGACAACCTGCACTCATCAAAGTATGCGATAGCATCACCGCCTCTGCATTATTTTACTAGGTATTCCGCTATTTCATTACAGAATGAAATAATTGATTAATGTTCAAGTTAAGTTCCATCTTTCTATTCAGCAGATATCAGGGAAGGAGAATTTTGATCAGTTCTTGTTTTCTCTTAACAACGAATCTCTTGAAAGCAAGTAAGTGTAAGAAAGAAGAGGCTTTTCCTTGTCCTTACAGGTATAAAAGAATGGAACAGTGTGAAAATTCATGTTTCAGATATAATTACGAAATCCACCTTGATTAACTCTTTCTTAGAATTGTAGCTTTCACCTGTGTACAAGCACGAGTGCAAACACCGCACTACGCCCGCCCCAATTATGTGCATTTTCGCAACGAAATTACGCATAGACTCCTCATAGAAATAAATGTTATTTAGAAGACGTAATTTTCGCGCTGTATTTCGTATGTACGTACAATGAAGGCAAATATTCATGGGCCTGGTTGTAATTTTTAAGTAAAACTATATTTTGGAGTAAATACAATGCATATTTTAATAATTTTTTTTTTTTTTTGTAAAACGGAGCTAACTCAGTTTGTGCATGTACTGGCATTCAAAAGTATGCGACCATTTCTCCTTGTTGCTGAGTGATGGGTCAAGTGGGTAGAATCAAATCCGTTTGCGATGACGTCAGTATATTTTATTCAGATGGCGAATTCGCAGGCGAATATGCAATATCTACAATGTGGAGAGCACTGACCAACATTCCTTGGATAATCCTCCTATCGGCAAGATTTCAAATGGCTTGTGCTCGCTATATTCAATATTAGATAGTAATGTTTGTGCATGTTTTGCTCAATCAAACAAGACGCCATATATTAGGTCAGAATGTCCTATATTTTTTATCTCGCCAACGGTTTCCACAACGCTTCTGCTATCTTTATAAACCCGCTTGTTTCGTTAGTAATAACGTTCATTGGACTTTCACCTTCAGAATCCTGGTTTCCTCTTCACCGCTCTCCTGCTACTAGCAGTAATGATTGACTTTTCATCGTTAAACATCATTATTTATGTTTAATGGAATAAGGTATGTATGACTGATCAATTGAGATCAAACATTTTACATTCTATACAAATTTGCTATCTAACCCTAATTACAAGTCTATATACATAAAACATCACGTCCTACAAAGCTTATTTATCAATACTAACATTTAAAACGAATAAATTTTACAAGTAAAAGTCTACACAAACAATTAAAAAGTAATTAAACATTCAGATATAATTGTAAATAACAATAGGAAAAATAAGCTAAGTAAACTTAATCCTAATCAACTATAATACACTGGCAATATTACTTAAACGAGCTCTTATTTAAAATTTCAAACGTTTAATGGGAGGTTCTTCAAACACATTCTCTTCGTTTTCAATGTCCATGGGTACCATTTCCATTAAGTTTTGGGCGGTGGATTGCATTTGCCTATCTCTAAGCCATGCGTTGTTAAGTATACCATCAATTGATGGTCGGCGTCCAGGGTCAACTATTAATAAGTTTTTAATTAAAAAGATGGCATTTTTTGATATTTTCCGCCAAGAAGGATGATTAAAACGAAATTCTCCTTTTGTGATTTGTTCGCCTACTGGTGAGCCGTAAGTATCGGAAAAGGGCAGAGTTCCACATAGGCATATGAATAATATCACGCCCAGACCCCAGATATCAACCTTCTTCGTATAAGTTCCATGATACCGAGTTTTCAATACCTCTGGTGCAACGTATAAAGGCGTTCCGCACAGTGTACGCATAATCGTGCTATTTGGTACAAATTTACTTACTCCAAAATCTGTAAGTTTTAATATAGTGTTGTCGTCAGGAGTCTTAAGTAAAACGTTATCTGGTTTTAAATCACGATGAGTAATTCCATTGCTATGAAGATATTGCACTGCGTGACACATTTGATAAAAGTACAATTTAGAGATTTGTTCACTAAGTCGTTTCTTGCTTACAATACGATTGAGTAAATCGCCGCCTTTCATGAATTCCATAACCATATACATCGAATCGATACTATCGGCTATATCGTATAATTGAATTACGCAAGGATGCTGCAAACTTTTCAATATTTTCGCTTCATTTAAGTGATTGGTTTGGCTATTGATGGCCAATAAATTCTTTTTAATAGTTTTGATGGCATATTGGATACACGTACGACGGTCATAAATTAAACGTATAACACCAAAAGCACCCGAACCTAATTTGCAACCGACATGATATTTCGCCGTGATTTCCTTAGGAAAGTCTAAGTAACGCACATTTGAGCGAATATCCATGAAAATAAACGCTTTATAATTAGGATGAGAAAGCGAAATGGTATCATTATTTTGCAAAATACGTCGATTATTTGTACCGATTCTCTCTCCGTTAACAAAAGTGCCATTACGAGAGAGGTCTTCTATGTATATGGGGCCATAAACATCGCATATCGATCTTCTAATCATAAAATGTAGCTTAGAAATTCCGCTTAATATATTTTGAGAATCTAATATTTTAGATGATATAATTAAACTATTATTTTCAGCCCGCCCTACTGTAAAACTTTCACCATCCAAGTCCAAAGATTTAATTTTAATGTTCTTTCCATAAATTCGACCCCAAACAGTGGGCCGAAATATTGTTTTGCTACATGCGTTTGAAGTTTGCCATTGCATAACCTCTAAATGGTTTTGTACTAAGCAATTTGTTGCCATTTTTTTTGTTTTACTATTTAAATCTCTTATTCTAGTTCTCTTCACATACACTTAAAACTCTCAATTTCGTGAAAACAAAAAACAAAATTACATCTTTATACCAATTGCGCGTGTTGCCTTTCCCGCCTTTTTACTGTAAAGTATGTATTTTTTTGTCTATACCCAAGCTTTCAACTAAAATAAAATGCTTCTACAATATTTTAAGGGAACAGGGTTGCCAATCCCTAACACTTATAAATATTATCTAACCTTCCTGTTTTTTCCGCGCAATGTCTTGAAATGTAATTGCTTGCAACTGTTTTATAATTTAACTAATAAATTCTTTCATTTATTTGCAAATTAACCGAAAATCTCCAAAGTTTTTTTTTAAATTGCGCAAAGTGGTAAGCAACTGCTACTTTCAACAATCCTGAAGTGTAACAATTGAATATTTCCCATAAGATATTTACATGTAAATTTACTTCACTGAGTTCGTCGAATCACTTCACCTAAAACTGCCTGCTACACTGTTACACTTAAGTCAGTAATTCGATCTTTGTATATATGATTTTTGTTTACATATAAACAATGGAAATAAAAACAAATTGAATAAGGCTTTTGCAAGGCTATCATCCTTGTCAATATAAGCGAAGTCCAAATTTTGAAGACTCTATTCGGTCAAAGTCTTTGCGAATCTTACAATGCCTCAACCTAAATCAAAAAATGAAACAATTATCGTGAATTGGAGGAAAAAAAAAATTTATGCTGTGACCCGACTTTATAATGTTACTTAGAAGAAACGAAACTTTACTTGTATAGCGTTCTTGCATCAAAAACGCTTACAACATACAAACGGAAGCTCCAGAGATCCTATGAAATCTACACTCTATCATCTACACTACATCTTTCTTCTAAAGTCTTTTTCCGCGAAAATTTCTTCACCCAATTTCGATTTCGCGTTCATATGTGCTAAGGATGCCACTTTTTAAACAATTTTGTAGACATAAAAACTGAACCGTATCGTTCCCCTTACATTTTAACTTCCTCTGCTGTTCTGTTGTTGCTGTCGAGTACGAATTTTTCACACTTCTGATTTTCTCATTTACCTAAGTTTTATTTTTTCCTTGTGTTTGAGTTTAAGATGATCGAGCAGAGCTCGGCTAATGTCCAGTTTAAGAGATATCATCATTACTTTTAGTTCTTACAAAAGAATGGCTTCAATTTATGTACGATTTTTAAAATCTGACTTTTTAACCGCGTGATTATTGTTAAAATGATTTAAAATGAAGGATTCAAAAATAATCAGTAATCAAAGTACATCATCTCTTTGGGTAGTACATTTTTTTCAGCGTTTTCCAAACTGTGCAATTACATTAATATTTCAGCTGAAGCTGTTCAAACTGTTTGCATAAGCTCGGAAGAGAACAGCTGACTGACTGATTATTATTGAATATTGTTTTATTTTGCAATATCGAGAAAATTTTCAGGGCGCTATCATCCTGTGCCCTAATAATAAAAATAACATAGAAAATATTAAGGAAAAGTGTAAAAAGAGAATTTGCAAACACGTGGATAATTTCTTTACAAAATAAAAAGTAGTAAATATTAAGTTTTTTTTTTGTATATTAAGTTTGCATACAAAATGTCACGTAAGAAGTGGACCTCATTGGAAAAACCACCGTTATCTAAGCCCGTATTAGAGGTTGTTGAAAGTATGGGTTTTGAATTTATGACACCTGTTCAGGTAACTTTAATACATACACTAAATTCATTGCGATATTAAAGGAAGTTTTTATATTTCTAATCAAAGGCTGCTGCTATACCGTTACTTTTGTCACGCAAAGATGTTTCTGCGGAGGCTGTAACTGGCTCAGGAAAAACATTAGCCTTTTTAGTGCCTTTATTAGAAATGTTAAGTCGAAGGCATAATGAGTCGCCGTGGACTCCCAAAGAAATTGGCGCTATAATTATCTCACCCACAAGAGAATTGGCTTTACAAATCTCGGAGGTATTGCAAGTCTTTTTGACTCATGAGCAGCTAAAACACTTACGTCAAAAACTTATAGTAGGTGGAGGCAGCATAGAAGAGGATATAAAATCCGTACAGAACGAGGGGCCAACCATATTAGTATGTACGCCCGGACGTTTGGAAGATTTATTCCAACGAACGGGTACCTTAAACTTAGCTGGCCGCGTCAAAAGTCTAGTAAGGATTAGGAGAAACATGTTACGAAAACCTTTTACTTAAAAACTTTTCCTTTTCTCCAAGGAATTTTTGGTTTTAGATGAAGCCGATCGTTTATTAGATTTGGGTTTTAAAACAACTATAAACAATATATTAGGTTTTTTACCACGCCAAAGACGCACTGGATTGTTTTCGGCCACCCAAACGACAGAGGTTACCGATTTAATAAGAGCTGGCCTTAGAAATCCGGTATTGGTTTCAGTTAAAGAGAAATCCACTATTAATACTCCGTCACGTTTACAAAATTTTTACAAGATTGTAGAGGCTAGTGATAAATTTATTGCATTATTGGATTTCCTCAATTCTCCTAGCATTCAAGAAGCGAAAATAATGATCTTCTTTCCGACTTGTGCTTGTGTGGAGTACTGGGCGGGAATAATGCCTCACTTTCTCAAGCAACGTTTAATTTTAAGTACGCACGGCAAAATGAAGAATAAACGTAAAAATGTGATAGAACGTTTTCGGAAAGAGGACAGAGCTATACTTCTATGTACCGATGTATTGGCCAGAGGTTTAGATGTACCCGAAATTGATTGGGTTATACAATGGGATCCCCCTTCCAATGCGGCAAGTTTTGTGCATCGAGTGGGACGTACAGCTCGCCAAGGTAATGAAGGCTATGCTCTAATATTCCTCTTACCCAACGAAGATGCGTATGTGAACTTTTTGAAGATTAATCAAAAAGTGGAGCTAAACCCCTTAGGAAATGAAAGCAGTCAGGGACAAGTAGACTTGAAGACAGTCTTGGCGAAGTTGCATAAACTGCAAATTAACGACAAATCAATTTTTGATAAAGGCATTCGAGCGTTTGTTTCCCATATAAGAGCCTACACGAAGCACGAATGCAATGCCATTTTACGTTTGAAAGATATGGATTTGGGTAAAGCAGCTACTGGTTATGGATTGTTGCAAATGCCGCGAATGCCAGAATTGAAAACTTTAAAAGCGGATAACTTTATAGGACCAGATTTTGATGTAGATGTACAAAAATTATCTTACCGCAATCCACAGAAAGAACAAGCGCGTCAAGAAAAAATCCGAGCCTATGAAGAAACTGGTCAATGGCCAACGAAGAAAAAACATAAAAAACTTACCGAATCATGGGAGCAAAGTAAAAAAAATAAATTGGAAGGTAAAACTAAAAAAGAGCTTCGCAAAGCGAAGAAACTGCGTAAAAAGGAAACCGAGGCAGGTGAAGAGCAAAAAGGGAAAAAACGTAAAACGCATTACACTCAGGAAGATTTGGAACAATTGGCAAATGATTTGAGATTATTTAAAAAATTAAAAAGGAATAAAATTTCCGATGAGGATTTTTGTAAAGAAATGGGTATCGAAGATGAATAAGAATAAAAACAATATTCGTAACCGAAAATGGACAAAAGCAATGAAGCTTCTGTTATACAAACTTTTTCCTAATCACCATTAAGCCTTAAGACAGGTAAGAACTAGCAATATAATATATCCTAACTGATTCGTTAAAATTAATAAAGAATCGTTATGAATAATTATTTTTCTAAAGACCGTTCCTCTTATCGATTTATTAAAGGGCAATCGGAACTACTTTTTTTTTTTTTTCATAATTCTAGATCGCTTTTTCCAAAGCATGGCACTTTATAACAATGCACTTAATAAATTCTTACAACTGCATAGAACTTAAGGCATACTTCTGTCAAGGCGACTTGTTTCCTGTCAAATTCGTTGCCTTCTACAAGTCCATAATAGCACATAGTCATACTCTGTATTAAGTTAGTGCGAACGTATGTAACACGCCGAAGGGCTTAAGATCCCCCTTAGACCCACCTTTTATTATACCGATCTAAGCCAGTCTGTCCACGTATATTTATGTTCAAGCCACAGATCGGAATTTTTGGAGATATTTTGATGGAATTTTGTACGCTGACGTGCTTTGCTCCAAAGACGATCTATTTCTAAATCGTTCTGAGCCTATCTGTCCATGTAAATTTGTGTGCAAGTCACAGATCGCAAATTTTTGGAGATATTTTGATCCCCCTATAATGCTCTATTCTGAAAAGTCGTTATAAGAAAAAAATTGGCAATTTTTAAAGTATTTCGATAAAAATCCCTAAATAATAGTATTTCGACAATTTAAATTGGTGTGAAAACTTTGGACTGGCTGGAGACCTAAGCCCTTAAGAAGATTTTGTGTTGAAAACTCATAATGCTATTTATCAATGATGCATTCACCTTTTATATACGAAAAATAAAAAACATGAACGAAGTGAACCCCCGCGCAAATGCCTTTCTCCCTTTCTATCGGTCACATACGTTTTCCGAATGTTCTTTATGAAAAATGAACGGGCGCCTTGAAAGGGTGCTTCACTGTTCTTAACCACACGTGATTCCCAGAATACGCCTTTCTCTCCTAGCGCACTAGGTTCTTGGTACCTTAATTAAATTCTTTTACCTACACCAGTTTTTTCTATACTCCTGCTATTCCTTTACCACTTAAAGTACTTTTAAACCATATTTTGTGAATTTACAATATATGAGGGAAATAAGTAAAAAAGGTTTTATCAGTTTATTTCCAATTAAATTTTCTTTTTGAAAATCTCGGAATATTGTTTCAAGTTTTATCAGTTTCCTAGAATAACATAAAAATTATCATAAAATTAACCAAACGAACATATCTACGATTCATAAAATTAAATAAATTTTAAACCTAACCTTAATATTAGCGATAAAATGAAAAAAAATTTTCGATTAAGAATTTTATCAAACCGCCGCTTCTGTAACGATTTGTAAGATGATGCGTCTTTTTGGATCGTAATTGAAACCATTCTTTTTAAATATTTCCGATTCATAGAACGGTTTCAAGTTAAATATATCCAATTGTTTCGCTCGTTCTAATAAATCGCGTTCCATAATTTCAACATGCGTAGCGGTGGGACCATCTTTGCACCGTATATACGCCAATTGATCTAATGTCAATTGCCTTAGAATGAAGAATAATAATTCCGCATGATCTTTCTGGAAAGCCAAGTATTTCTGGAATGCGTTGCGCATCTTCTTCATAACACTGAATTTCTGACCCTCAATGAAACTTTCAAGCATCATACGTATAGCGATATTGACATCGTCTTCAACGACATTTTCACGCAAATGCATACGGGCGTACGCTTCCGCCATACGTATAACACTTTCAATATGTCGCACCGTAATTGGCAATGAGCCGGTAGCAAATGATTCTTGACGCAATTGCGAATACATTTTAGCAATTTTATCCTCATCAATATTCTAAAGAAGGGAGATATTGCAATATCATCTATATGTATATATACATTTATATTACTTATAAACATACCGTTAACTTGGGATGTATGTTCTCTTTAGCGTACACGATATATTGTCTTAGTAAATCTTGCGGTATTTCATTAGTAGGATTCGCTTGTAAGTCTTCTTCAGTCGGTTCACGGGATGGATGATGTTTTATATGGGAATTTACGACAAATTTGGCTAAATGTTGATCTTGCATTGGATCAAATTCGTCTTTAACAACACATAAGATATCAAAACGTGATAAAATCGGATCAGATAAATTAACATTTTCCGAAAAGGTCATTGATGAATCATAACGTCCGCCTATGGGATTGGCAGCAGCTATTACCGTGCAGCGAGCCTGCAACGATGTTACTATGCCGGCTTTAGAAATGGAAATCGATTGTTGCTCCATAGCTTCATGGATTGATGTACGATCTTGATCGTTCATTTTATCAAATTCATCAATCAGACAAACACCTTGGTCGGCCAGAACCAAAGCGCCCGCTTCCAGTGTCCACTCTTTGGAAACTGGATTGCGTCTCACATAGGCTGTTAGGCCTACTGCACTGGCACCTTGGCCAGTGGTAAACACGGCTCGGGGTGCAATCTTTTCAATATATTTTAAAAACTGTGATTTCGCTGTACCCGGATCTCCACAGATCAATAAATTAATATCACCACGCACTTTGTGTTTGTCGCCAGGATTTTTAGCTTCACCGCCGAATAAAGCTAAAGCCAGCGAACGTTTGATGTAGTCATGACCATATATAGACGGAGCAATTGAAGCGACAATACGGTCAGCAATACGAGGATCTTTACTAAGCTTTTGTATAGTGGCAATATCCTCATCCGTCAACGATTGTACAACTTGTTTACAATCCTTTACTACCACATGATTAGCTATAATAACTGTTGCAAACACTGGGAAGCCCTGCTCAGTATTTAAGGAACCGTCATAGTTATTCGTGTAAATGCCAGTAATTTCCAGCTCATCACCTGGCTTACAAAGATCGCATAGATCGGCAAGTAGAATAACATCTTTGCTACGTGGTATACGACCGGCAGGTATACGTCCCGGTGATTCTTGTAAAGTGATTTTTTGATAATTACGATATAACGTTTGCTCCATATTAATCTAGATTTTCAAAAAGTTATTTCATATAGAATTTGTATGTATATTCAACTCACCGAAAATGGTCCCGTACTCTGACATTCGGGACAAGAACCCGGTTTAACTTCCGTATTTTGAGCTTGAACAAATGGTCCCAGCACGTAACCGCACTTAACGCAATCGTATTTAATGACTGACAATTGAGGCAAAACGCCAGTAGTAGCTGTTACCACGCCTAAAGTGCGCACTAACTGATTTAAATGTAATTTACGGAAAGTACGCAGTTCCTCAATTAGTGGCAGCTCCGAGATGCGTACATGAATTTCTGTAGTTACTCTTTCATAGGTGGGGAATATCGATAAAACCATATCTTTAGCTACCTTATCAAATATTTCCAACATTTGAAATGGCGCCTCTGGCAGAAAGTAAGCTAAAACATGTTGCTTGTGAGCCAAATCCGTATATGATACTACGAAAGAGGACTTATTTTGTTCGCACATCTGTCTGATACGGTTACGATATGTATATGAACTACGTTCATCGTCAAAGTTGCGCAAAAAAGATTGAAAACGATTAGCGATTTCGGTACGAGGACCCAACATGCTCACCCATTCTTTTGTAGAGTGACCTTTAGTATCTTCTAAATTTTCTATCGACTCGACCATTTCTATATCATCTACTTCGCCCATAGCTGCTTTCTCTCCAGCCCTTCTCTTGGCTCGAGGACCCAATGCTTCGTCATCATCATCACTCTGCTCAAAACCCAAGTCACGATCATCGCGATGTATAATACCTTTCGCTCGATCTCGTCTACGCATTTCAGCTTCAGCGGCCAAACGTTCACCTTGAGATAATTCGGAGTAATCTTCATCATCTAATATGGCTGGATCGTAATGATCTAATTCAGGCATGGGACGATAATCATTTTCCATATTATCTCCAAATAGCTCTTCGCCATCTTCAATCTCCTCATCCCGTACAGTTTGATCACCTAAAATTTCATCCTCGTTCTCAAATGGTTCGAACTCTGCAGCCGGCGATGTCATGGCTGCCCGTAAATCCGGTCTGTCGGTAGCATCAGTAGGTGTAACCGGTGCTGGCGAACTAATTGGATCCTAAAGAGAAATGATCATGAAAATATAAGCAATACACTTGGAACATCAAATAATTATTTACTTACAGCCATAATTGTTTAATTGAAGTAAATTAAAATAACACGCAAAACACATATATCCCTATTCAGGACTAAATTAATCGTTTTGTTTTGCACGTTTAGATCAGTTTTTGGCGGGCAACTAAATATTAGAGATAATAGGAATATCGATAATAAATTATCGATATCATTACTGAAAGATTAAATTTTATGCTGCATAAATTTTGTGATCTGGGGGCTAATCACGTAAGCAAGCGATAATGAAGTAGGCGATGATCGCCAAGAGGATCTAATCATGTTGTCAAATGCACTTTCTCAGTTACGTGAAATCCGGCGACAATAATATTTCTGTCGCTGAGAACAAATTTGCATTAGTTTTGAATATAAACCAAGCAAAGTTACCACAAATGTCTCTCTTTTAAAGTTGCGCTCGCAAAAAACAGCTGCAAAAAAAAATATAAACAGCTGTAAGAAAATGAATTATTAGTTCAAAAATTTTAAAACATATCAGAAAAAAAAAATAGTGTCCAAAATTACATTTGCGAGTTGTGAAGAAAAATAAAAAACAAATTTCGTAAAAGCAAGAAGAATTTTTTTTTTTAAATATGGAGCTAGTTTAGCCTAAATATAACCTAACACAAATTCTACATAATTTTCATTTCACTTTGCCAGCTGGTCGTTGTTTACCATGTTCAGTTTGGTTATACAAAACAAATAAACATTAATTTGACTCTTACTTTTTTTGGTTTTCTCAGTTATTAATGCATTTTAATGGAGAAATTGAGGGGAAGTATTGGAAAGCTGGAAAGTTACCTGACTAACTTCTTGGCTATAAACAATTGTCTCCTGAAAAAACCCAGGCAATAGTCGCATGGCTTACATGATTACTCCCCTGTATTTCTCCGCAGAATAACTAAATAGTCAAGACTTCAGATTCGTTATTGGTGAAATCGGTTAAATCGATTACGAGATGGTTTTATTAATATATATATAACTTTGACAAGCGTTCATTTAGCCAAACATTCATTGATATCATTTGGGTCGATTTGAGGGGGGAAAGTGGTATTTAAGACTTCATATATTTTTCATTATATAGCCTTTCAATTACTCTTCTAATATGTTGTGGTTTTAAAACGATCGCAATAGATATATTTTTTAAAATATCTGTACAAATTGAAAAAAAAAGTTGCTGTGCATTTACGTATTTTTTCTAATCCATTAGCAAGAACGCATAACTAAAAAAGAGAAAAAACAGATAAAAGCGACGCCTTTTAAAATTGAATAAATCGATATTCCCGTCAACTGCTATTGGATGTCGCGATATAGATCAAGCACCGAAACATATACGTGTTAAGAGTTGTGCAGATAATAAGCAACGTAAATGAACGCAAAGCAATCTCGCGCCTGACAAAAAGCGCCACTTAATTGCATTAGCCTCTTATTGTGCGTGGGCTTTAATGGTAAGATAAGATCGCCTACATTAAAACTTTGCACGCTTATCTGATTTGGAAATCGAACAGCAACGAATATGCAAACCTAGTGGCTTTCACACAAATTATACTAGGAGAGTAACCACGTATAAAAAATTCAACACTCATTTTTTTTCAGCTGTAATCGCTAAACCGCAAAATGAAAAGATAAACCTAATTTTCACTTGTGTGATTAATTCTCTGATTTCTACAGTTTTCTTCTTCTTCTCATACCATATTTTTTTGTTGCTATTTACATAAATTTCCTCATTTTGTTTATAAAATAATATGAAAAAAGCCCTTTCCTACGTGTTTAACGCTTGGGACTTATTGGCCCGAAAAACGCAATAATGCACCATTGCCTTTAAGCGTTCAGCTATTTTAGTTCTACAACAAAAATAATTTATATAGAACACTCTTACGAAAAATATGTAAGTTTTCGTATTAACACAATTGCAGAAACCGGCAACTTCTAGTAAATGCATATAACTGTCTCTTTTGCTTTTCTTATAACGAGAAGCAAAGAAATGGAGAAATGAAACAGTAGTCGATTTTTTTTTGCTTCATATTTGTTGTTTATCAATTTTATTGACATTTCATGAAATTTTACAAGATTAACTTTTGGACTGGAGTTTGTACTTGCTTGTGCCTCTTATGTTTTTCTTTTTTCAAACCAGCTTATCATAAACACGGTACATACGATTCTTTAGCTCATATGATACATTGTCAATCATAGGCGGATTTAATAGGTGTCGTACGGTAGCCATTTTCCCTTCTTTTGGATTTTTCCCATTGCACGCAAACGTCTAGAAACAGTTGCTTCATCAACAGCTAAGCTGTTTGAAAGTTCCTTGAGAGTTTGAGCTGGATTTTCATCCAACAAGTCCTGCAATTCATTGTCTTTGAACTTTTTCGGTCCTCCCGGTCGTTCTCTGTCATTGACATCAAAGTCACCACGTCTAAATCGTTGAAACCAAAAGCAACAATTGGGATATGATGGAGCAGCATCACCATAAGTTTCTAAAAGTATTCGATGGGCTTCGGCAGCAGATTTTTTCAAATCAAATAACAAAAGTAATGAATGTCGTAAATGCAATTTTGAGCGTTCCATGATTAGCGTCTGTATACAGCGAATAACTTGATAAAACTGTTTCATGTGGAGAATGGTCAAAATCATCGAATTTAACCTTTATGCACGTTGATACTTACTCACACTTACGCTAATAGATGTCGCTGATCAAAATACATGCAAGCACCTAAAATTTTCAATTAATAGAGACTGTGCTAATACAATCGTAGCTTTCCTGTGCCTAATTTCTGGTAGCTATTACATTTGAAAAAAAATGGACTTGGATTGTAAATATAGAATTCGTTTCCGTATTTATAAGGGCAAAGGAACCAATAAACATAACATCATTTTACTGAACTTGAAATCCATTTAGAAAAACTCAATAAATTTCTTCTTCTACATATGCGTTCAGAGTCAAGAAAAGGGTGTCAAATAACTGCTTAAGCCGTATACAATGTGTGTATATAAGTGTGTATATATACTTTCTTTGTAAGAAAACTGAACTCTCTGAAGTGCAATGAGAATTTAATAATAACATTGAATAAATATGTCACCTCCTGCGGCACGACAACGGCAACGTTATATAGCAAATAAACATGAAAATAATAGTTTATTAAAAAAACCGAAAAAATTCATTAACGCCACGTTGAGAAGGGAAAATGAAAAATCTGGGTAACAGTGAGCGATAACAATAATTAATTGATAACGAAAAAGCCGGAAAAAATTCATGAATTTTTCTTTTTTTTTTATTGCAGTGCCGCCAAAACAAATAATAGAAAATATCAAAATGAAAGATCTCCGGAAAGTGTAAATGTAAATGTTGGTGTTCATACTGCTTTTAAGACGTTTGTTAGCGCTCGCCTTTGTAGTGCCATATGTGCTGATATATCAGATTGCGATGAAACATATAATTATTGGGAACCGTTGCATTACATTATTTATGGGCATGGCTTACAAACCTGGGAATATAGTCCACAATATGCTTTACGCTCATATACCTACATATTGCTACAGGGTGTGCCCGGTTGGATTTACGAGAGAATATTTCATCCAACGCCTATTTTAATATTCTATATGGTACGTTGTATGTTAGGTTTTGGTTGTGCTCTTATGGAAAGATTTATGTACAAGTAAGTGACAATTTCATCGAAAGTTTTTTCCTATATTTTAAAATTGCATTCCATTCCTAGATCCATTTGTCAAGAGTTTGGTGTACATATTGGACGTTTATGGTTAATATTTCAACTGTTTAGTGCGGGCATGTTTATATCTAGTACCGCTTTATTGCCATCTTCTTTCGCTATGTATTTCGGTTGCGCGGCTTTGGCTGCTTGGTGGCAACAAATGTACGCGTTATCTATATTTTTTATGGCCATAGCAACTTTACTCGGTTGGCCTTTTGCAGTTTTAATAGGATTGCCGATAGCTATTGATATGCTCTGGCGAAAACAAATGTTCCGCACATTTTTCATGTGGTCCGCTATATCTGCTGTAACAATTTGTGTACCTATGATAGTTATTGATAGTAGCTATTTTGGCAAATTGACTTTCGCTCCATTGAATATACTTTGGTACAACGTTTTCACCGATCACGGCCCGAATTTATATGGCACTGAACCGTGGAGTTATTACATAGTCAACGGATTCTTGAATTTTAATATTATTTGGGTGAGTAAGAAACATAAATCCAATGCATAATCTCTTAGTCAAGTTCCGATAGATGTTGTGCGACCTACGTTTTATACTCATTGCGCGCTTTTTCGTAAAGGAAGATAAAAACAGAGTCATGTACTTGGTTTGTGAAATTTCATATCCCAGTCCAGTTAAATATTCAGCGAAGTTACGGCCCGATATGGCAAGAGTTGTCAAATGACACGCAGTCGTAAGTGAATGATAATTCGATTTGTGGAATTTCGTATCCCAGTCCAGTTAAATATTCAACGAACTTACGGCCCGATAATGCAAGAGTTGTCAAATGACACGCAGTCGTAAGTGAATCATAATTCGATTTGTGGAATTTCGTATCCCAGTCCAGTTAAATATTCATTACTGTCACATTTAGGTAACATTCCAGTTAAACATTCCCACTGCACTTAATCGAAGCTTTAATCGAAGGCAATTGCAATTGATCATTACAGAGTTACACGTAACCTCAATTTCCAAACCAAAAGAGATCCTCACCTGATGTAAACAAAATATCATAAACCGAGAGACATTTATAAGTGCATTGTAAGCGATTTGCGAAATTCTCACTTAGGAAAAGAACGACCGAAAGATTTTTCTCACTCCGGTTGAACATTTACTACTGTCCACTTAATCAATTCGCTTTCGGATCGAATCCCTCCGCTATGAGTTCGCACATAGTTTTAAGGGAAGTTTACTAAGCATTATGCATTTTCAGATTGCTCTCCTTCAGTAGTACAAATTTATTGTGCATGGACATGATAAAATTTATAATTGTATAATTTCAGCTTTTATCTTTATTAACGCCTATGATGTTGGTTATCGATTTTATTGTTGTTCCGGCCAAAACGAAATCTACTTTAAACTTTCCCCGTTATATTACACTGGCCCCGTATTATTTGTGGCTGCTGGTGTTTATTTCTCAACCGCATAAGGAAGAGCGTTTCCTGTTTCCCATTTATCCATTAATATCGTTATGCGGGGCGATAACAGTTGACGTTTATCAGCGTATATTTTATCGATTGAAGACATTAATGGTACAAATTAAAGCCGGCACTGTCGGAAGTCATTATCTGGATCATACAATGTTCATTGCCATTTTGGTTATGGTAATTGGTACATTATTGGGTTTATCGCGTGTTTTCTCTTTATATCGTAACTATCATGCTCCCATGGATCTTGTCATGGAGTTAAATCATTTTAAAAATTCCAATGAATATCGTTCCAGCCGTTTATATAATGTTTGTGTGGGTAAAGATTGGTACCGTTATCCGGGCAGTTTCTTTTTACCAGCACGAAATTTTCGTATACGTTTTTTAAAATCGGAATTTCGCGGCCTACTGCCCGCCTATTATGCCGATGATGAGAATGCAACGCGTATTACGCATCCGTATTTCAATGATATGAATCAAGAGAATGATTACATGTATTTTCCTTATGAGAATTGTCATTTTCTTATCGATTTTGATGCGGACAAGTGTACATCGCTCGAGCCATGCTATTCGAAACAAAGCAAAGACTGGTCTGTAATGAAAAGTTTACCATTTCTCATACAAGATAAATCGAATAGTTTTTTCCGCGCTTTCTATATACCATTCTTAACGGACAGTTACACTGTTTACGGAAATTTCAATTTGCTGAAAAGTAAAAAAATGAAACCGAGCTAAAAGAGAACTCCGATGATGATGATCGCGCCTTCCCTACAAGTCAGTGATGAATTTGTTTACTGAAAAACTACTCAATAAAACTCAAATTCATTGCAAAAAGAAAAAAATTGATCTTTTAGAACACTTCAAAGCAGAAAAAAGCTAGATTTGGAATATATACGCAATACTTGGCGAGAAAGCCAAACTTGAAAAGATTGACAACACAATAGATAGATCTACTTAAATGTGTGTGCCCAATCAAGCTATTGTATTTTTTTTTTAAATTTGTTGAAATGTAAAGACGAATCCTTTTCCACTAAAATATTTTTACTAAAGTGTAGCAAGAAATTTAACAGGAAAGGCTTGGAATAGAAGTAGGAAGGATAACTAAACTTAGCCTCACTGTACAAACCGTTGGGATTCCGAAGCCCTAACCCTAACTTTGTTAACGCTCAAACAAAGAACTTTGCCTTTACATTTGATCTTTTTTACACATCACCGCTTCGGCTGTTGAAGCAAGAGAAGAATTTGCGGAAATCGTCAATTTTTTATTAGCTTCATTAACCGAATTGTTTATAAATATTTATCCCATAAAAAGTTCACCCTCATGGAAAGAGGAAACATAACTTTGTTGGAGCTGTGCTCAAAAGGTGGTAAGAAAGAAACAGCATCTTCAAAGCGAATCAATGTAGACAGCTTATTCCAAGACATATTAAGAGATTCAAGCAGAAAAACCTTATAGCAATGTGTAAGCAAATAAAATGATATCCGAAAAAATCATGCGGATACTATCAAGGATCCATGAGACATTCAAGGCGTTATTTGGAATTTTAATCACCTTAAGCTTACTTCTGTCAATAGGCAAGAAGACACTTATAATTTATTAAAAGTAATATATGTCCCCCTTGGATCCCTTAGGGATGCGCGCTGTTCGATGCGTAAGACGGTGACTGTCAAAAAGTAGATATGAAGGTGTTGGTCGCAGCCTATTAGGCATGTGACCAATCGTTACGCCCTTACCTTGATCAAGAGCCTACTATAGTTATGACCAAAGAAAACTCTATTACAATTGGAATTTGAACCCGCGAGACGCTAACTCGATAGTCAGGTTTGCATTACTCAGGTGAATAATAATGTCTTTTCCAGATATTTTAAGTTCTATGTGAAGTACAAAAATAGATTTATGCGATTTGCAAGGACAACAGCTGTGTGAATAACGAATTTATCTTTATCTCAGTAAGTATTGGAACTAAAGTTCTATTATTAATATTAATTAGTTAGTTTTAAAAAATTCACGATTGAAAGGCTACGAATCACTAGCAGTGAAGCGATTGGAAAGTATTGAATATTGAATATTTTCAACATTTCAAGGTATAAAGTTAATTAATTAACTACACTAAATCAGTTGTTTTTGTTCCATTTCGTTCCGGCATTATGTTTCCAAATTTTCTTGATTTTCCTCCAATCTTTTGTTGACGGCACCTATCTTGGCATCTCTAAATAAGCATTATGTCTCTATGCAGCTCTGTACCGCGTACCGTTAATTGAACAAAGTTAGCGTTTTCAAGCATCCAATTTGAGAAAAACTGGTTTCCACCAAATCAAGTTCAATTCATTTACTTAGTGCGATCCTTTATTTATTATATAGAAATGTGTGATTGGAGAATTGCATTCAGAGTAAGAAACAACGTCACAACCAATACCAAATGTACCTTTGTTGTCCACGTCAACAAACTATGTGCAACTGGTGTCTCGTCCTCAAAACATATTCGCCTTACAAGGAATCCTAATGAATATTAACCCTCAAGTACATGTTTGCGATGGCTTACCGGTCAAATCTTTTGCGAACATGACTTCTAGATACGCAGTGAACTATAATTTTCTTGATTATAAAGCAAATACGAATTCACAATGTTTGCAACGCAACAAGAACGTGTAGATCTTAGATAAGGCAGCACGTAATAATAATGATGGTAATAAAGAAAGTGACGTGAATATCGAAGGAAAGCTAACAATCAACAACGAGCAAGAACGGTCATTAGGTAGGAAAATATATTTGTTCGAAATCAGCATTAAATTTAATACGATATTACAACTATCTCGAAGACTAGGTTATATTGTAAAACATCCATTGTGTGTCCGCTTGATTAATCTTCACGACATCGAAGAAGATATTCGGTTCCCAATTGGCTCTTTCGTCAAATCGCCTTTTACATTCGTGGGTATAAAAAGAAAGCATATATCAGGCCGAGTAAGCAAATCTGGTTTTTATTTTTCCTAAACGACTTTTTTCAATCGAATGAGAAAGATATATAAGATATTCAAAAAAAGGATAATAGGGTTAGGAGAGCAGTAACGAAGTAAAATTTATTTACATATCTTTTTAAAAGCTCTGTTCTCGTTAGTACAACAAAAGGAAGATTTTAAAGAGTTTTCTAGTATTTATCAAACGCGTAATATTTTAAAATTACGAAATAAGAAAGTTAATCGTGAAGAAGAAAGTGAGATGACGTGCCTATGGGTAACAATACGTATACCTTCCCCATTGTGATCCTAATATGGAGGAAAACTAAAAGCGAGTCAAATTGTTTAGTCGACTAGATATTCTTAAGGTTAGTTGGACTGAGCCGTGTAAAATAGAGTGTCCATGACCTGATCCATAATAGAAAAAGCTACTTGATAAAAAATTAAAAAAGGTCGGGGGCTGTAACTGGATGGACGCACATACCATAGCTAAGTTAAGCTAATTAGTTCGATACTAATCGTGGGGTTTTAATTTCTATCCAGTGGACACTCCACGGATGATTACGCGGAAGAAATACACGTGCCAAAACTCTTATGAAGTCACACGGACAGACGAAACTTACCGGCTGACCTTATGCTCTCCATTGGCACATGATTTTATATAAGACGTGCCAATGAGTGTCTTAGTCCTTCCTTGTTCCTTCCAAATTATTCCTAAAGAATAACAAGCGATCCATTTTTATAAATTGAGAAAAAATATCGTAAATTGATATTCTGAATATTAATTCTCACTTTGTTCGCATTATAAAAATCTTCACATCGAAAATTCTATAAAAATTTGTAATTTGGACGTGTAGTATGAAGCCAGATGTTAGAAATTTCAATTTTTCCTACATACATATGGTTAATGTATGGGAAAAATTTCGTGTTTAGTTGAAATCCTTTGTAGTGTGAAATTTTTTGCAACGTAACTTTTTTATTTCAAAAGATAAGGAATGTTAAGGTAGTAATAATTTTGTTCGAGCATACATATCAGTTACCCCAAAAATTGAAGCCATTTCTTCTGAATATCGGAAACGTAACATATAACACTCGATAGAAACGCATCGAAGACAGGGATGTTTTCAGAACCGCAAGTTAAGCGCATGTGCACATATTAAACCTTTCACTGACAGTCGTCTGTTGTCTGGCGGTTGGGTGGTTTCTTTTCTTTTTTCGTAGCAAACAATCAATCATTTATATTATTTACATAAAAGTAGCGAACTCTTTTATACCCTCCGTCAGGGTGTAAGAATTATATAAACTTTTATCAACTCCTTTAGTCGTACCCAAAACTAAACATGACAAACTAGATTAAGCCTACGTATTCCCAGAACTTAGTTTAACTGTATGCCAGGCTTTTTAACAAATCCTTTATGTGCAATTAAACTTCATGTAGACATTTTGAAAGCGGATAGGATTTTCCCTCAATAATAATCAAATGGAAATAACTGAAATCTTTCACTAATAATACAAAGTGAATTTGTTTTGGAAATTTAGCTCAAGCATTGATTAAACCTCAAGTATTTAAAGCATTTTGGTTTTGACTCATAGAGAAAGAAAACATTGACAGATTCAATGTGTGGAATTTTTTAAGGGCAGGCGGCGTTTCAAATTTCACGCGGTTATATTAAATGAAAATTAAATATTATATATAGCTGCAGGATGCCGTAAAACAATGATGCATATACACAAGTTAAACGCAATGAGTGTAGCTAGAGCGTACAGATAATTATTGACAAAAAATGATAAAGAATTTCTTAAATAAACCCTAAAATTACTGGAAAAACTTAGTTTGAATACTAATTTCCATTACGACCCCTTTATACTAAAATTTTAATCATCTCCATCTTTAACGTTTCATACTTTCGTGTTTCGAATTTTTTATTGGCTGGTATACAAACTGAAAATATACATTTTTATTAATTAGAAATCTAATTTTGTGTTTAACTTAACCTAAATAATTTATATTTCATTCAGTATTGGCAGCTCTACATAAGTGCTACTTCAGTGTACAACCCTGTATTAAATGCTTGTACCGTTAACCGAAGAACGTCATTAAGCCATTTCTTTTACAGAAAAACGCGATGGATTGTTGAAGGATACTTATTCGGCAAATTTGCAATTTATAAGGAAATATTGTTTGCATTAGTAGTCTTAAAAATTTACATTAATTCCAGGTGCGACGTTTTAAAATTTTGCAAAAAGGGAAATACTAAGGCGAATCTACTTGATACAATCAATGTATCTCTATTCTGACCATCTTTAAAAAAAAAACCTTGCCATCTAAGCAAGCGGTCATTTCGAATGAATTTGTGAAAAATTTAAGCAAGAAAGCAAATCACTTGCCGAAAGTTTTCGAGGTCTTTATATCAAATACAATTTTTCGTTACGATTCAACAACAAACCGATGTCTACGTTAAATGTAAATAATCCGCTTACTCAGTCAATCAGCGCTAGCGATCCAATATCGTCGACGGAACAGCGGAAATCGGTAAAATTTTCTTCAGAATTTTGTAGTCGAGTAACACAAAGTCGCGGTGAGGAAAAAATGAATAATATTAAAGGTCGACTAAGGTCGAGAATCGCCAGTGACTCAAAAGAAATGTCGCCCGGTAAGATGATTTCGGAATATTTTTTATACACATTTTTTTTAAAAATTACTAAAGAAAAAAGAATAAATAACCTTAAATATTTTTTTTGTTTGACATAAAAATGACAGAAAAGAAAACTGATTGTAAGATACGTTTTTTTATAAGAACTGTGGAGATAAAAGTTAAAAAGTTTTATTTGTTTCATGCAACTATCCTACAGATGAAATTAAGACTCAGTTAAAATGCGAAATTCATATTTTAGCAAATGAACAAATTGAAGTCATCAAGCTAACAAATATTATCTTAATAAACTTTTTCCTATACAATACGAGTGTAGTGATAATAATTGTAGCCACTCTTGCCACTTGACCAGTGGTTTCAACCTTCCAGTCTATGTTTCCTAGGTGAGTCGTATAAGATTCCCCTACGTATTTGCAATATTCTTGCTCTCGGCAGCTCAAACCTAGCCAGTTTTTACATAGTCTGCACAGATCTTGGAACCGTTATGGAGATTACAATGGATTTTTATCAATCCTCTCATATTTAATTTATGCTCCTTGTTTTCCCGATAAAAAATCAAACTTTTAAAAGCACATGTGCGTTTTGGGACATTTGCTTAGCATTATATAAGACATATCTGAAATAAAGAAATTAGAGATGGATTTATTCAGAAGGGATAATTTCGAAAAATTTGCGCTTTAGAAATCTTTAACGTAGGAACTATAGATTTTTCATCAGAGTTTAATTTATGTAAAAGAATAAAAAATTTATTATTTTGAGCAGTAGCCACAAGAACAAGAACAAGGACGTCTTGCAATGAAATAAATCTTAGAAGTCGTAAAGTTTCTGTCATAAAGCCAAAGTGTGCGCCTTCTGAAAGAAACGACAAATTCGATAATGACATAAATTCTTGTTCGTCAAATGCGAAGGAAGGCAACTCTAATAAGCGTCAATCTCGCGTCAGGAAAAGACAAATGGGTTTGAGCACTTCGCTACTGCCCAAAAAAACGGCCGCCAGCAAATCCAAATCTGTGGCAAACGAAAAAGACGAATTGATTTGCAATAAAAATGCTAAGAAAGCAACGTTTTTTTTGCAAACTGAAGCAGCGAACGACACTATTCTTGCTCAAGCACCTTCTGGTTCGAAATGTCAGAAGGATCAACAAGAAAAGCAACGACAATCATCGGTAGGTTCAACGTTATTGACGGTGAACATTGACTCGCAAACGCATAATGAAGGAGCGTTTGCTTTCATGAGAGAACAGTTGAGTTTCTTAAAATCGGAACAATTTGACTTTTTGTATAACAACTGTAAAGTTCGAAACATTGCGGACATCATGAATTTAACCTTAAATCAATTGCATGCGATGGGCATCTGCGAACCGGAGTTATTGCAACTTACACAGATGTCGTTCAAAATGAAAACAACTAGTGAGAACGTTAATGTCAATAATAATGGAATGAGTATTTGTAAAAATCGGAATAAATTGGAATTAATAAAAGCTGATGACAATCTGGTGCATTCCAATAATGCTTGCGATAATGGTAGTGATTCACAAACATTGTTGACTGATGAAAAGAAATGTGAATCCTTTTATAGGGGAACTATTAGTATGCAGAATTGCGAAAAACTCTGCCCCGGAATCTCTGGAGCGTCGTTGACACCGGCAGATGCTCTTCGTATACGGTATGAGGCTGCAAAGCATACCGACCAAATTGTCGAAAGTATTAAACAAAATTTGCAAAAATTAAAAACAACTAACATAGATCCAAAAGAGAAAGAAGCCCAGTTATTAGAAATGTATAATGAACTAAAACAGTATGACGAGCAGCTATTACGAAGGCAACAAGAAATGAACATAATGGAGTTAAGTGAAACGTCTTATATTTGGAAAAAAAATTTAAAAAAAACGGAAGCAGAAGCTGTAGGCGGCCACGAGATGACTGCCACGCAAGAGGAACACTTATTGATAAGACAGCAACAAAAGATCATTAGCGAGAGTAGAGAGTTGCCTGGTAACTCAAAGCTGAATTTATTGGAAGACGTTTGCAATGAAGTTCAGGTAGAGCCTGCATTTGCATATGCGTCTGTAGATGGCTGTGTAGAACATTTAGAAGAAATTGTTGAGCAAGGCGAGGGACAAAAAGAGCAACAAATTGACATGAAGAAGGCAGGAAGAGGATCGTCTGGTAAGTCAAAGACTAATGTAATAGAAGTTTTACGCCAAACTGCAAACGACAGTTCAGAGAATTCAAGAGAATCGATGCGTACGGTGTGGAAATATATCGATGAGGTGCACAAATTAAATGAAAACTCCTTGCTTGAAAATACCGAAGCTGATTTTTCCACCGAGGTATTCGCGAAAGTTTTTAGGGAAGAAGGGAATAGAGAGGTGAGTACATAAAACAAATCAAATGAAAGACATAAAATACGCCTTATAGGTTGCATCAACGTAAAATTTTTTTTTTTTTGCTTGAAATCATCGGGCAACCCCAGAAACCATAAATAACTTGACATCCGTTATCAAAGTACGGAAGTCCATTCATTTTGATAAAATGTTTGCGACAGTCGAAAGGAAGTTAAAAAGATCTTACAAAGTACATATATTCCGGATCAGTAAACATTTTTTTTTTAAAGAAAACGCTAGTGATCTTTTAGAAGATTCGGACACAGGCAAATATAATTTCTGCACTTTTTGCACTATACGCAGGAGAACATTCATAAGACTTTCTAAACGCTTGTAACACTTCAAAATATTCTTAATAAATCTTTAAAATCGAAAACGAAATCGGTACATCAACCTGCCTGTGTTTAGACAAGTAAATTTGATCTAAAGTTTCTTCTTATCACGTTCTTCAGGTCTTGATATCACTTCGTCGATGAAAAGTGAATCCATAATTTTAGAGTCCTTTATAAAAATTTAAAAAAAAATTTAAAAATATTTCCAAACTATGTCTTCGTTAAAACCTTGTATCAAGCGTAAAAAATTTCTTAAATTCTTCTGTTTCGAAGGTCGGTCAATAATTTCTGATAAAAATCGTATGCAAGTGAGGCATATATGATATGGATTTTCTCTTTCAACACACACATTGATGCAATGGGTATTAAGTAATTTGATATAAATCATATATAATTTCTTTTCTATCCATATACTTATTTCTTGTCTTTACTTCCTAGTTAACTGCAATAGTAGTTAAATATAATAGATCGTCGCCTTGCGAAAAGATTACTTCTTCTGATGATATCGCGGAGGAAGCTTCAAATTCAAAGAAATTTGATAAAAAATCAACTAAAATTATTGAAGAACCATTGGTAACGACAACCATTCAAATTCCGCATCGTATAAAATTACCAAAAGCGGAGGATATTCAACAAAGTCAGCGCCTGAAAAGGAATGATAACAATGAACGCGCAATTAATAGCAAAATCAATAATGAAATCGTTTCGGAAAATGCAAATGCAATAACCACAACAATGTCGAATAGTGGTGATGAAGGAAAACCAAAAAGCAAAGATGCAACAGAAGCTCAAGCTTCATCAAATCGATTTAGGAAAAAGCTTAGGATCAAATTGACGCGAGCTAAAAACTTGAGAAAGAAACAGAATTGGCGTGAAGACAATAAATCAGGAAATCAATCAGTCTCCGAGTTTTCTTTGTCAAGCGACACTGATTTTACATCGACATCCTTGCAAGGTAATTCAAATATTGAGAATGCTCTATTAGCAGATGAGCAAGTAAGTTCGACGGAATTCTCAAAGATAAATATTATTAAAAAACCTCGATCGAAATTTGTACAAGGAATCGATATTGATCCTACATCAAGAACCTCGCATGATGAAAAAGTTGTGAAAGAAGATGAACAAATAAGTTCTGCGAAACGTCCGAAGTTACAGGTAATTGAAAAACACCTTACGAACTTGGAGAAAATAAGCAATATTGATTCTTCATCGAGCCGCATGGTTGATAATTTAAATATTGAAGATGTTCTGAAGAAAGGCAAACAAGTGAGTTTACAAATTCTTAACAAATCTGTTTCGAAATTCGCGCAACTAAGCGATATTGATCCTGTGCTAAGCGCCAAGCATAATAATTTAATCGATAAGCGATCTGTAAGTAAAGATGATCAAGAAAATGCGATTGATTCGTCAAAATTAAGGATCACTGAAAAAAAAATTTCAAAAATATCTCCTACGAAACGTTCAGTTAGTTCCCCCTCTACGGCACTTTACGATAAGGCGAAAAACTTTAGAAAAACTAAAACTAGCACTAGAATTAGAAAACGACTTACATTTTGTGCCGCAAAACCAAACACTTCAGGTAAGCTGTATGAGAAAGTAACAACAACGGATAGTAAGAGCAGAAAATTAATGTTAGAACCGGTTGTAGACGAAGCTGCTGCTCACAATAATGACAATAAAGAAAGAGATTTGTTAGCGACAAGTTTGGAATATTTGTCAAAACCTTCGCTTAAGGATTCCCGAAAACGTAATAACTCGATAAGCTTGGATGAATTGCATAAGCAAGAAAACGAGCTTGTGCGAAGCGTAGAGGAGCTTGAAATTGCAACAAAAAACCCAATTTCTGTGAAAGGTTAGCAGCAAAATATAATGAAAATATTCTTTCAACGGTTGCCAAATTTTATAAATTTTTTTTCATTTTTTTTCATTTTTTTTTAGAAAAGCCATCATGTACAAATCTTATAGAGAGAATAACATACGAACGATCAAACGATTTGCGTGAATTTCTTAAGAATAAAAAAGATAAAGTAATTATGAAACAATTGACAATGGAAGCTACGAATTCTATTGGCGTTGATAATGAAAGAAGAGTAACAACGTCTACAAGCGAGCAGCAAAAACTCGAAGGAGCAATATGCCAACAAATAGATTCGGAAAAATATCAAAATCGTTGTTATAAGCAAAAAACGACGAACGAAACTAAAATAAAAAGAGTCGAAGCAATGTCAGCGAATGTTGAACAACAAACAAATGATAATGATTTTGTTACAGAACTGGAGTCCAATGATAGAGGCAATATTAAAGGTAAGCTCTTTTTTATTTTTTCGCCATATATTTGATGCCGTGTTTCTATTGTTCTTCTTTCTCTTTCTTTGTTTGTTGGCTTCTTCTTTTTATACCCACCACTGAAGGATAGCGATATACTCATTTTTTTTTTTTTTTTTTTTTTTAATAATCCATGTAATACCCAAAAGGCAGCTTCAGAGCCCCTTTAAAGTATATATTGAGTGTTTGCAAAAATTTCCATCACTTTTTCACTTAAGAAAGGTATTTATTGTGGAAAAGTGGTAAAACATATATTAGTCAAAATAATTTCCATTATTCTCTGGAACATTTTACAATTATTTTGGCAACGTGGCGATATCATTTTGAAAGATTTTGTATTGATTTGGCAGCGATCCAATTACCGACCCATTTTCGCGCATCTTCCACTTTGCGGACCCGCGTGCCAGCCAAGCCATGCTGTACCGATCTGAACAAGCAGTAATCAGAAGGCGCCATGTGTGAGGAGTATACTGGGTGTGGCAGAGCTGACTATTTAAGCGGCAATTCTTGCAACACTTGGCTAACAAATGACAGCTTTTAACTCGTTGAAGCCAAAACCGACATTTCGGCTATGACGATTGAGCAGCTTGAGAAGCCGAACAGACTTCGGCTGTCGAGTTCTTCAAGTAAACAACAAAAGTGATGAATTTAGAAGAAGAAGAATTTTGAGCGCTCCATGATCAGCGTCTCTATATACACTCAATAACTCAATAATACTAAATGGAAAACTGCTATTTTAGGTAAAGGAAGGTCAAAATCATTGAATTTCATGGTCATGTACACTGCTACTTCCCATTCTTTTATCATTTTTACCTGTAGCAGTCGCTGAGCAAAATTTTTTCAAACAACTAATATATTCTTGATTAGCGTGAAATTCTGAATTGATTAAGCTATGTCTGTCCGTCCGTGAGGTAGTTGTTGTTGGCACTTTCTTCGTCGCAAAAGAGCAGATATCGACTTCAAATTTAATAGAAACATTGGCAGTTTTTGCAGGCAAGTTGGTATTGAAAGTGGGTCAGAGTAGAAGCTTGCTGTTGAACGTGAACTGAAACCAACTCCGTTTTTCTTAAAACAAAATTTGTGGGTTTCTGTTCGTTACCCGGAAAATATAAAAGTTAAAAAACTGAAATTTTCCACATTTACTTATTCTACTTCTTAGGTGCAAAAGTGAAAGAAATCAGCCACGCCCACACGAACTTACAAATGATTCAGTTTTAATTTTTTTTGAATTTTATGCTTACTTATCATAATGCGAGCAAGCCAGAGTGTTTAAAACTATTGTATACATTCCCCCAAATGAATATATATTTTCCGCCCAAAAATGGTTTAATTCTGAAGTGGATAGGGTAGACACAGCGATTACTTTTTTCTTAATAACACCAGCAATATCGCTATCAAATAAAAGAACTTGGAGAATAGGATGCGAAAAGACCAGGGTGTGGGAGAATCGGCCCCCGTCAAATATAATTCTCTTACTTGTTCTTGTTCTTATTATGGTTGAATGAAAGTTAATGCAATAACCGTCGAATCCATTATTCTCATGACAGATGAAGATCTCAAATATAAATATAAAACACGTTCTGAATTATGTAATGAATTAACTGAGTTTACGATTAAAGCTGAAACCAATATCGAAAATAATCCCACTGTCAATACAATGTCAATTGCCTCACCAACGCCTATGGATGATACCATAGCTAGTCCTTCACCGCCCCGCCTAGAGGAACCTAAGAATTATTATCATTTCAATCAAAATAATGGTCTTTTAAAATCTTCATCAACCCAATACACAGTAAGTATCGATGTGAGTGCTATTACCGAACCTTAGCCATATATATAGTATGAAAATGCTTTTTGATTTTGAAAACTTGTAAAAAAAAAAAAAAAAAAAACATTTTCTTTCCAATTTTGTCGCATGCACGATTGCTACATAATCGTTATAAAATTAATATTTACTTTTTATGCTTGGCTCTTATAATAATAATAACGTAAAAAATGGTATAGAATGCAAAAGTTTAATTTACCTTTTATTTATTTATTTATTTATTTATTTTTGTTATTATTTTCAATTTTATTTTTAAGCTGTATGAAGTTGATATCCCAAAAATGGCAGTTAACAAGCCAAACAATTTTGACAAACTTGTAAAAACATGTTCTTTGGATCCCAGAGTCTTTAGAAGCCCGATAATAGTAAGTAAAGAGTTTCATCTTTCATCTTTCATCTTTTTTTTTATGCAGTGGATATAGTTTGTGTTAACGCATGATAATCATTGATTTCAAATGAGATTTGCTTAAGTGCATATAAGTTTAAACGATTATATCATCAATTCATCGGTGATTCATCGGTGATTATGGTTTGGTCATTGGTTTGGCGGTTCGTAAAAATAGCTCGCCTTAAAACAATTTCAAGCAATATAGCTTGTCAATGTTGATTTCTCCAACACTTGGTCCTTGCAATTAAGGTATGAAAATCTCTATCTGTCCTCAAATAAGGGCTTACGTTTCATGAGAACCCTTATATGGAACGGGATGCGAAATGAAGTTAATTTGTCCATCGAATCCCTGCACACTCTGTAGCATTTCGCATTATAAAATATTTTTGTCGCATTAAAGCTTGTATTTCATAAAGCTTATATTTATAAGAAAACTGATTCAAAAAATATTTCTAAATTTTCCATGTTCATGTAATATATCAAGGTAGGGCTTTTCACAGATTTCTATGGAGAAACCTTAAATATTGCATCCTTCTTTATGCCCAGCACCGTAGGACGAGGAGTATAATCTTCATTTTGTCAAAATGTCCAGACGCCAAAAACCCAGAAGGAAGTTTCAGAGTCCTTATAAAGGCTATATATACTTGATCAGCATGAAATTCTAAATTGATTTAGCCATGTCTGCCCGTCTGGGTGTCCGTGTGGTGTGTTTTGTTGGCATTCTCTTGGTCGAAAAAATGAAGATATCGACTTCTAATTTGGCAGAAACATTGCACGCACGTTGGTGTTGAAAAGCGCGCAATGGAGTGTAAACTGAACGCAACTCACTGATTTTTAACAACAATTTTTGGGATATTTGCACTTTACTCGAATATTATTAATGTTAGAACCCTGAAATTTTCTACATTTACTTTACGAAACACTCTACTCGTTACGTGTAAGCTAGCCACATCGATTAATTTCTTCTTAATAACCTCAGCGATATGGGTATCAAATAAAAGAACTTGGAGAGTAGAATGCGAAAAGAATGGTATGGGAGATGGGATGGCCCCTGCCGAATACAACTTTCTCTTTTTTTTTTTTTTTTTTTAATTTGGGCTTCATGTTTATGGAAAAATATGACATCTACTTTACTCTTGTTCGGGATCGTACTCTTTAATAATATTTTTAGCGGAGGCGAACAAACATACAGATCTAAATTGATTTTATTCATGATCCTATCGTAAGTCATGGGCTGAACGAGACCGTAGGTAGGGTAGGGTGCAGAACGGTCCAGGGCTTGTGATCTGGCGTTTCGTCCATGCGTTATAAGAACAAAGCGCGTGTATTTCTTTTAGATTTTAACCGTCTATGGATTATCTATGGAACAAAAACTTAACATTCCCCATATCTCCCGAGCTAGCTAGCTCAGCAATGACACATGCGTTCTTCCCTACAATCTTCGAATTTGTTTAAGTGGTCTTTCAGTATGCATTTCCTCGTGTAAATGAACATATTCATTCTTACCATTGGCATCAAAAATTCTTTATTGCTTACAAGAATACATTGCGAAGTCCGTAATAATTGAACCGAATATCATTACTTATGATATCATAATTTAGCGATTTCAAAGATATTTCGGATTATTGTCGTAGCGTGACTTAATCTGAAAGCCTACAATGCACGTCCAAAATTTTATCAAATCTCATCTAAAACCTACATGTGGCGGGATGAAGAAAAAGAGGAATTTGTTGAAATTTCGTGAAGGTTTTTTAAAATATTTTCTTCTATCTCTTGCAATTTTTCTTTTTGCAGTCGAAACAGAAGTCTACACCTACGCCTACGAGTTTGGCTTTCCCTTCTGATCGTAGAAGCCGTTTACCTGCAACCAATAATTTTTCAATTAAACATGAACTATATGGACAACAGAAAATTTATCAATATCAACAACAGCAGCAAAATCCAAATATGCTATTATTTGGTTACTTGCAACGTTCACCTTGGTATCAAAATTTAATGTCTGCTATGAAAATACAGATAAATCAATCGATTTCACAACTTGTACGAGCTCTAAATAACTTTTACCGTGAACGTGTACTATATCCGGACCTGGTATTTGATATCTTTAAAATGGATTGTGCTGGCACACTTATCGAGATAATGCAGAATTTGGGTATTTATGTCGATGCATATGGCTTTATAAGTGAACAACGTCTAGGGTGTGATATGCTCACTCGTTGCTATCTCAATCCGGTGGCGCCTGCCAATGCTACGTACGGTTTCAATGAAGAAATATCGCCACCCACCAGACAATGTGCAACTGTCACTACGCCGTCGTGCATAGTGCCAGGTGCCCGTCATAATTCATTCTCAGATTCGCGCATAGAAACACAACCATCATCTTCACAAGCTCATAAGCATAACGAACAATATCAGTCATCATCGAACCGACACGATGACGCTAACAATAATAATAGAAACCGTTCGCATTATCGAACCGACAGATGTTTTCATAATAATAATCAACATTCAATAGAATCGCAACATCGTCGGGGCCATAAACGTTCATCTCTATCGCCTCTAGATTTACCTGACCGCTCAAGGGGTTCAAAGAGTTTTGTAGCTACGCGTCGTTCCTCTACGTCGCCATCCAAGTCTCCTTCTCCACGCTCATATAAATCATGTAAATCTTCGCATACTTCAGTCGGCCAATCTTACAGTAATTATAGTAGGAAGTCATCATCACAAGTTAAACCACAGCAGGCTACTGCTGATGATGAAGAAGAAGAGTGTTGGGATTAGAATAATGCTTGAAAAAACTTCAAATCTTTTTGTTTTTTCTTTCTTGACATTTCATGTTTTCCCTACACTATTGTTTTGATTTCTTTTTTTCATAATAGTAAATAGACTTTCTTTTCAAATCGCTCGAATATATAATAAATATCAGTTAAATATAAAATGAATTTTAAAAATTGTTATTTGGATGTCGTGTATGCTACGATCAGAAGCTGAAACAACAACTCCGGTCGGTTTACGGATCTCATTATCAAGTGCTATCGTACTGTACGAGGAGGCACACGATGGTTGTTTGGCTTGAGTCAATCGCTTTTGTATCGAGTTTGTCCGCTCGTTCGTTGTATGAACAATGGTATATATATATCATCGGTGGTGCATCACAAAATAATGCTGCGAACAAGAGGAAAAAAAGCAAATAAATAAACAAATGAAACATAAAATTTGAGAAAAAAAATTGACAAAAAAAATTTGAAGCTAGTAATTATGGCTAGAAGTTTAACTTCAATATCAATCAAAAATTTATTTTCACGCATTACGAGCAATGGATTTTTGCATATTATTCCGCAGACTGCTCACAAATTGCAAGAGTTATTGAACGAAAACCCAGCTCAGACTCTTAAGGAACTTTCGGACAGCTTGGCAATTAATAATTCAACAGTTCCTATGCCTTTTTCAAGGGAATAAATGACAAAAATTTTCGCAAGAACCTAATATGATGAAAGAGGCGTTACCTGCTGACAAGTAAGTGGAATTTATGCGACCTTTAGTGGGTTAAGCAATGTGGTTCAAGGTCATCTGTGATCTATGGTTGGCATAACAAGGAATTGGGTTAGAATTGTAATCAGTTGTTTTCTATCAATTTCAGCTACGATGGATTCGGCTACCAATGACGGAGTTATTACCGAGGATTTCTGCTGCTGAGATCTATCATTTCCGCTCTTGCCTCTATTAGAGTTTCTATTTTTCTGTCTACAGCGAAGCGCAGCGGCATTAGCAGTCTCAATTGAAAAACGAGAAGAACGCTTTTTCTATGGTAACTGTATCGTCCATATCGTGGGCACGTCTTATGCCCACTGCTAGAGGTTAATTGCCTTTACTTTTAAATGTTCTTTTTGCGCAAAGAAATGCAAACATTTCTTATAAGAGAGATGCGGTTGGCAGGTCTGGTAATTGAATAGACTTTCTATTGCACTTAAAATTTATCCGAATTTTGTTATGGATTTATGTATAAATCTGATTAATTAAGTATCTTGCCATGTCTTGCTTTCTTGCGTATTGCAAGAGAAGGGTAACGATAACACAATCCCTGAAATAAAGAATGAAAGAGAATGAAAGTTTTCTGATAGACAAAACGAGAGAGCGTGATTTTAGGCAAACTCTTATTCCTTTTACTTGAGCATTACAATGAATAATCGGTGATTACGAATAAAGCGTAAAATTTTAGGGCAAACGCTGCCACAAGCAAGCAAAATTATTTATAGGTATTTTTGGAGTCTTCACCTCCAATTACTACAGCGTAGCAATTCATGTCATTGATTTATAGACCTAAAAAAAAAAAAGAAGAAAATTCCTTCTAAAACAAGTCATAGTACATTTATATTGCAACCATTAAAAACCTTCGGATAATAAATACTTTTGTAAAAAAAGAAAATCAACGTCAATTTGTAGAATGGGAAAAGAAAACATAGAAAAAAAAAGAAAAACTTAACATTGACGTACTGACTAAACGACCGTTCACTTCGCCTGAATGAATGTCTAAAGGGACACAAAAAGTCTAAAGCTATCTTATAGAGTTTCAATTAGTGTCGACCGAGTCACCAATGAAATATTGACAAATTAATCCAGTTTCTAGTGTAAAAGTGTCTGTAATGGTTGCAACTATGTATTAAATTAAAGCTAAAAAGGTATGAATGCATATAAATGAATGAGTTTACTGTGTTCAGCTGCATAAAAAGCGTAAAGTAGCTGATTTGTGTATAAAAGTACATATAAATATGTACGTGTGTTTTTGTGAATGTGCGCTATAACCTATTATTTATGTGAAAATAAAGTAAAGGATAAATTGTGAAGGAGAAAGAATGGTAGGTAAGTAGAGAGTAAAAGAAAGTTTTTGAAATTCTCAAGGTATGGTAAACTTGCTTGTGTACACACACGTACACGATAAATTTTAAAGTCAATGGCGTGTGAACTTGATATCTATAGATTGACCAGATAGTATAGTTTTTCAACATTTATATTATCGTTGTTGCTTTTGGGATTTTACTACTGCTCTTTAGGTTGATGGACTGACTGTTATTATTATTATTATTATTGCTTCTGTTGGATTGTCAAAATGTTGTCGAGCATTACTGGTAAAGGAAACCTTTCATCATATTTAATATTTGCAAATATTTTTTAATATGTTTACCTTTTAAATTGAAATGAGTTTGCATAAGCTTGCTTGTAAATAAGTTGTTTAGAAAATGGGAAACACAATAGGAAAACGCCATAGTGGGCGAAGGTTAATCATTAAATACTCTAGGACATTCTGGAGTTACTCATAACGCGTGACTTCACTAAATATGGGCATTATATGGAAAGTGGTCGAAAAAATTTGCCGATCGCAACTATTTCTGATAGCGTTCGTCCTTGGTCCAAAGCCCTTCAGTATGTTCATAAAAAAAAATAACTCGCAAACTTGCGACCTGTAGGCGAATTTAAGAAAGGGTGTCTGTCCGTCTGTCCGTCTTGTTTTCTTGTGACTCTTAGTTGATGGGACTAATTGAAGAGTGGCCTATCTCAGGTCCTTGCATACACCCACACAAGCTTACAATACTTTCGTACCGCAAGTGATGTAACAAATACCATTAAAATTATGCAGTGATGCAGTTATTTTGTAATTGGCCTCAATTTCGCGAGATATTTTAAAAGGAACATCTTTGGCAATATAAGATAATCCTTTTAACGCAATGTTTTATTTTGGTCTTTACAATGTTCTGTAGAATTAGGAACTTTGAACATATAAATAAATTGTACTCTTAATCAAAATGTAAGATTCCGAGTTGTCTGTCAGCTCGTGCGTTTGCGAATATTTACGGCCTGTTGCTGATAAGCCTACCAAAACCAACCAAAGCCAGAGTCATTAAAATGAATTCTTATGACCTTTCCCAAGCAAATCTTTGAAAAGGCCTTTAACAGGTTAAGAACTATAACTTGTAATCCTCATCAATCACTCAGGAGATGCAAGGGTGTGAAGTTATATTTAAATATAACTAGCAAAGACACAAACTAAAATTTTTTACAGAGCTCTGTAAAGCCGTTAACAGAATTCTGTTAAACGAAGTCTCGGAGGGATTTAACTCAAAATACAAGTAAAATAGAAGTTTTCGCAAATTTTTTTGCAAATTCTTATAAACAAAACATGACTTTATGTAAATTAACTAATATTCGAAACCAAAACTTTTTTACACTATGCCATAAATGAGGTTGATAAAGCGAAAGTTTACGGAGCTACTGTGACCAAACCATGTCCCTTGAAAAAATGAAACCAGCACAGAGTGAATCCTCTATTAATAGCCTTTCCAACGGTGTCCGGGTTTTATTAAGTTTTGCCCCAAAAATTTTTTTATGGGACTTTGAAAATTACCATACTTAACTTAATGCGGGCTAACATATAAGCAAACTTTGAAATGTCGCTGTGGGCAA